CCTTGGCGGTGAGGTACCTTACGAGAGCAGGGCATGTGGAGGGGAAATCGGGAGTGGGAACAGGGAAAGTTGGGGGAATTGGCAGTGCTGGGAAAGGGAGACCTGCTGCTGGGAGAGTGGAGGGCAGGGGAGGACTGATTCAGAGAAAGCAGAGAGTGGGAGGAAGGGTGAGTGGGGGCAGGGGGGCTGCTGAAGGGAGAGCATAGGAGCAGGGATATGGAAGGGGAGGGGTACTAAGACCTGTGAGTGGGGCAGGCGGGAAAGGCGGGAAATGAGGCAGATTGAGCGAGGAAAATACGTGTGAAGGAGAGTGGAGACATGAGAATCACTGCGTGAGTGAGGAAAGTATGTTGAGAAGGCAATAGCGAGAAAATCTTATAAAATACCTTGGTAAATACAACGAGCTATGGAGAAATGAAAGCAGAAATATATAAGAATGTGTGAAGGCGCAGGCTGATCAAGTTAATCCCAGGAGTTAGAAACCTCCCTTATGAACAAGGATTAAGAAAGGTGAGTTTACATTCTCTAGAAAGGCAAAGAGTAAGATGTCACATGACCGAAATATGCAAATGGAAGAAGGGGGGTATTAATGCGTTAAATATTTATCAACACGAAACAATGGATACAAATAGGATAAATTTAGCTCGGAAAAGATCTGGGTAAATACTGGTGCTTGATTTACTGAACACATTATTGGATTGTGTCAAGCGAAGGTTGGACATATAAGATTGAGTTTAGATGGGGATAATTAGGATCTACCTCGCAAGGGCTAATAGATCTTTTGCATTTTCCTTTATTATTATATTCGTATGTGGACATTGAAGAACACAACTGGAGGGTGGAGGTAATCCTGCGCAGCAACCTAGCAAGAACTGTCCTCACTTTCCCCTCACCGGAAACTCAGGTGTTACAATGAAAATTACAGTGATATTCACCACATTTTACGTTCCTGCTGTAGAAACAAAATAACTAGTTAGATGATATAACATCGACACTTGTTACGTCTACCTCTAAGGCTACCATCACTGTCAGCAGCACTGGTGTTTACGTGAGACCTTCATGATAACCATGCAATCCCTTCAGTCTCAGTCTCTCTCTCTCTCTCTCTCATCAAAACGCTACCTCTCCATTTTAATCTTCGCTCCAATTTGTAACTCGTGACCATTGATAATAATCAAAGATAATTCGTGAGCAGAGACCCGTGAAAATAAGTAATCGTGAGCAGGGACCAGTGATACCAAGCTATCACAACTCGTGACCAGGGACTTTGCAATGACAAACTCCTACGATTAAAAGTAGTCAGAACTTTCGCAACCAAGAACGATATTCTAAATTAAATATGATGGCCTAAATTACTTGGTGAAATTACACGCTGAAAAGTTCCAAACGAACTTTTCAGCGTGTACACATGAGTATGTAGCGAGGATGGGGGTTGCTTATTCACGTGTACGACTTTCCAACACATGCATAGGCAGGGATGTGAAGGTGAGGAACCTGTCTTAAGACAACTCTGGGGTAACTGTAACACTATCCACCCGGGTTCTGGTAATAGCCGCAGGCAACGCCACCTGCCCCATCATGCCTGGGCTGCTGCTCATGTGCAATGTCAACACAGCTTTTACTCACACCTGAAGAGGAAGAGTGACGCTCACTCGTCAACATCACCTGTATTATTGTAGTAGCCTCGAGCCACGATACTAGTCAAGCTAAGCTTTAGTCGGTGATGAATATATGAAATGTCCAAAATCTTCATCATTTCTATGAATACGTAAGGTGTCGCCAGATATTCAACAGAATGTGAATGCTGTATTTAAGCCACAACCAATTTCAGGTAATTTCACAACAGAATGGAACTAAAACGCACATGACAACCAGCTCCATTGTACTGGTTACACAAAACACGTGTAAATAAAATTTACATGTAAAAGTTTTGAGAACAAGAGGAACATTTTAATATAAATATCACCCGACAAGGAGCCTAATATTCATTTAAGGCGAAAGAAGTTTCCAAGGCAAGCCCAGCCCTGCTACGCTGCCACGCCCTGCAGTCACCACATATAGCAGTACTTTCATTGATCAGTGCAATGCAAGCAAGCCAGCATTTCATTGCCGATTCACTACTACCCATAACACAGCATTCGGTCATCTATTGGGCTATAAGTTACTTACGCTAACGGTAAACATGAGAGAGCCGTCCTCATAAACAAAGGACAAATACTCGTTAAACCAGCCGTCAATTCCGTTTATGATTTAAAAATTATTACCCACAATTCTCAACTGATTACCTTCTGCAAGTACATACAATTGCCAAAAAGAGTCAAAACGCCTAACCTATTCTAGACCTAACGATACACAAAAGTTATAATCAACATTATATTAATTTATAATAGAAAAATTTTCTTTGGTTACATTCTACGTTACAATTGATAAATGCGTCACAGGAAATCGGCTTCCGCTTAAACGAGCATAGCCTGATGTTTTGAACTATTTGTGGTGTTTTTCTTCCATAAACAGGGTGTTTGGCGGCTGGATTAACAAGTAATTAGCCTGTATATGAAGACGGGTTGTATGACGATGTAAAATAAAGACAGAAACATCGGCAAGAGTTCCACTAACACTTAGCAGGACTGAGTCAGGGGGTTGGATCAATGTTTTGTCCAGCTCCGGCTGGCGCGTCAGTCTTACTATACTGTACTTGTTTTCTCAGTATACATTACTCTTTCTCACTCTATTTTTATATATATAAATATATATATATATATATATATATATATATATATATATATATATATATATATATATATATATATACCTCTGGCTGGAGGAAGGGGGATATAGCCTCGGAGGAAACCACACATAACGCGTTGGATATGTAGGTCCCCTCCTATTATATATATATATATATATATATATATATATATATATATATATATATATATATATATATATATATATATTAACGTTAGAGAACAAGTCATTACAATGCACAAGATACCAGTGGCGGCTTGCGCTACACTCGCGTCACATTGTAATAATTTCCTAACACCTGCCTACTCGACTAACTTGGTCTTCCCGCAAAGTGTATAAGGATATCATTCGCTTCCTACATTATATGGTTCCCCAACGAATTTAACACAGAACCTAAACAAACTTAAACTTTTAACGGAAGCCTAAAATAAACATTTAACGATTAGTTAACGGCGAAAGGGGAGGGAAGAAATAGCCTAAGCTATATTCTATCCCTTTGAGATGTATTTTTTTTCTTGTCTCATTAAACATACTTGAACAGCGAAACGACATACACATTTTAACAGCTGTAAAAATTTGCAAATCGCCTAGGTTCAATTTGGCCATACACCATGCATAAAAATCCGCATGTCTACAATATAATAATCTACAGGCCTTAGATAATGTGGGGAATTTTAAAGAAACAGTTGTAAAATATACATACAAATACGGGAATGGACACATTATTCAGGACACCAGCAAGCAATGGTCGCCCATAAGAAGGTGTCGAAGCGTCAGCCAAACGGACAACAACAAAACGAAAAGGTTAGTTTGAGGCACTGCAGATGTAAGAGACCGCAGTCACTTGTGGCGCGATGGGGATATACACCCGCAACACCTGTCCCTTACCTTCCTAACACATGGGTTCTCAACCTTCCCATCACCTGGCACCCCTCAACCTTCCCAGCACCTGGCACCCCTCAACCTTCCCAGCACCTGGTACCCCCCAACCTTCCCAGAAGGTGGCACCCCCCGACCTTCCCAGCACATGGCCCCCCCCAACCTTCCCAGCACCTGGCACCCCCCAACCTTCCCAGAAGGTGGCACCCCCCAACCTTCCCAGCACATGCCCCCCCCCCAACCTTCCCAGCACATGCCCCCCCCCCCAACCTTCCCAGCACATGCCCCCCCCCCCCCCCCCCCCACCTTCCCAGCACCTGAAACTCCCAACCTTCCCAGCACATGGTCCCCCGACCCCACCCCACCCCCACCTTCCCAAACCAGTTTGGATAGCTGCTAACGTCGAATGCAATACATCCCACAGTTTAGATATAGTTGCTAACATCGAAAATAATAAATCCTTCAGTTTTGATAGTTGCCAACGTCGAATACAGTACCACAGCAACTAAATACATTTACAATAAAAGTTTTACTTTCTTGTACACAGAAAAAAGAAACGTACACAATAAAACCACACACACTGCCCTTACAAAGAGGACCAAAGTCCTCCCTCTCAAAACCTGGCGACGGCATACAATTGTGAGACATATAATCACCCGCGACGCTTCACTGCCATATAGAACCGTGTCTTGATTCGTGTGCACTACTTTGTAAACTTGACAATCTGACAATCTATTTCTTCAATATATATTTGCCCCATTGATAGTAATTAACCGTTACGATTATATTTCCAATGTGTTGATTCGAGTGCACACATGGAAGAATGGGGGAGATGATAACATGGAATGGTGTAAGATAACTCCACCACCACACACGATAGTCAACACCACATAACAACAGTCACCACCACCACATAACAACAGTCAACACCACCACATAACAACAGTCAACACCACCACATAACAAGTCAACACATAACAGAGGAGCCACAACGATCACAGCCTCACAGCTTATATGTACACATGTAACATTTTCACTTGTGGGTTTAGCGTTAACTTCACATTTAGTGCCAAGTTCAGCTGGCGTACCAACGTACAACAACCAACTTGATTGTAAGTTACAAAACAAAAACTCAAGGGCCCCGTTATAATGCCAGGTCGGAGAAACGTGAGAAAAACTCATTAGGAAAGAGATTATATCATAAAGTCACGCCACGGATCCAGGTGCCCCAATAATGGCCAACAAAGGTCCCAGAAAACTGTACGCCATCCACGCCTTGTTTAGGATATACACACACAAACACCTGCCAGAGGGAATCGATTATTATTGGGGTTGCTTGTGGGAAGCCACGAGGGTGGTGTGTCAACACTCACCGAGGGTGCGGGAGTCCTGGAGCGGGAGCAACGACACTACACGTCTCCCTCCAACCACTGCCACAGCCACACTGACTCTGCGCCTGCGCTCACCCTCGCCCTGGTCAAGTTACGCTCCACTCCACTTCCAGAGAGTATGAATACTATTGTTTAGAAACAATTGTGTCCCCGAGAACAAAAGACACTTCAGGGGTTTATTTAGTATGCACTGTTAACGTCACGTTTAGCGTGCGTGCGTACTAACGTGCAATAACAAAATGTAGGTAAATTACGCAGGTAGTAGCCTGATATCACCACGTGGCCGGAACTATATCAAGACCACTTGTTGTCAAAATGCTGTTCAACAAAATCTGCATGTTTACATACAAGTGACTGGGCTCCTCTGGGCAAATTGCTTGGGCTTCTATCAGAGGTAAAACGGAAATTAGGAAATTGTATTGTTACTAACAAAAGAAGTCAACTGTACTTGTCTCTCAAAATGCAACACTCGAATGGTAAATTGATTATATATAAATATATCAGTCTTAAGATTATCAGAATAAAATTTCCTACTTAAACTAAGATTAATAATTAATCTAAAGAGCTGTGAGCCTAGCCTCAACTGACCACACCCTGATAGCAGCACTTCAGGGTAGGAAGGTAAGGTGGTGGTCGACTCCACCTCCATAGGTATTTTAATCGAACGATCTGCTACTCACTTATCCAGTAACTAAGCCAATAAAGCATAAAACTACACAGCCTAAATATTACTGCACACTTTCGAAAGAAACTAGATTCCTGTCTAGCTGGTAACAGCGCCCCCTTGTGGAGAATTATATCATAATAGAGATCACCTTACTGTGAGCCCTGAGTGTCTTGGGCATACTATATGTGTGTGCTTCAATCTGATCCTGTCTATACTCGTCAATAAACGCACATATTTACTGCCCCTTTGAGCACATGGTTCCTGTCAACAGTTCCTATCCTCACACAACTTCAGCTGTCCTGGGATATTTGTGCTCGGAATGTTCTCAGTAAATTAATTAAATGGTGAACAGCGAGGTTAATCATACACCAGTAAATTTCCGTACTTTACTAACAATATGTTCAACACTATATTAATGGTCGTCTACTCCTCTACCCACCTGAGTGATGAAAACTGTGATTCCTCCCTCGTTTAAGGCGAATATTGAAACATTATTATAGAATATCACACAGTATTAATCATCATTTGCAACGATGATTGCGAATGATGATTAAATACGAATGATGATTAAATAAACAACTAGGTTGGCTCAAACTTTACTGTACAGTACTACTGTTTTATTTACACAATCATATGTAAAAACTTAAATACAAAATAAAACAGTAACAAAAATAATCAAAATGCACGAATTTATCAAATTAAAACTAACATGCATTTTTATTATTTTTGCTATTTATTTTAATTTTTACATATGACTGTTAATATCACAGTGACTATAGTATTACGGCCAAGTTCCTTTAAGGCCACCTCGTATATGGTTGTCAAATGTATATATAACCATCAACATTTACGTAAGTAAAAGGCAACAAAATGTCAATAAAGATTTCTGGGTTTATGTTGACCAAAGAACTTGATAAGGAGAAGGGAGGAAGAATGAGGAAAGGGAGCTGAGAAAGCTGGAAACTTAGAATGAGACAAGGGAATGAAAAGAGATTAACATAGTTTAATGAGCCTGCTACTATGGATTTTTTGAGTTAAATGATGCTGTTATGTGAGTATGTTGTTAAATTAGCATGACATTAATTTGTGTCTAGGAAGATAAATTATATCATTCAGTAGTAGTAGTAGGCATCCATCAGTCTCAGGAGACTATGGAGTTGTACTCTGGTGTTGGCCTGGTCTGGAGTGGTCTCACCAGGGCGCAAAGCCAGGGTAGGTTGATTCGGGGGAGAAGCTGTTACCCAGGCAGCAGGTCCCCCCCTCACCACGGCGCTGAAAGTCCCCAATGGAAAGGCATACGCCAATACGATTGGTTCCAGCGCCGTGGAGAGGGGGGACCTGCTGCCTGGGTAACAGTTTCTTCCCCGAATCAACTTAACCAAACGTCAGTATACCACAGGCAAACGTCAGTGTGTGAGTGAGAGGGCGTTGAGGTTGTGGTTGGTGGGAGGTGTGGGAGGCAGGATGACGTGCTTGGGGAGGTCTGTCACTACTTCCCCGCCCACTGGCTCCTGCTGGTGCGGGCGGCCCGGGCTGAGGACGCCGTCCCCTACAGCCACTCCTGCGCCCGCTTCACCAGCCCCACTTTGTCCCTACGGTGAAACGACAGAACAGGTAACTAGCAACGTTATTAACAACCAAAGAATAGTTATGCAGACTCCTTCGCTAAATGGGTAACTTAGGTACAGGACAATGTAAGACAATAATATTGTTCCTGACTCCAAAGTTATAATTTCTAGTAACACATTATTTGGAAATTGATATTGTCAAAATCAGTATATACTCATCCAAATTCCTAGTATACGCTACCTGTTGCAGTTTATACATCCTTATAAATATACTACATCCAACTGTATATCAAAATGAATATACCATAAATTAATGTGTCAGGATTCTCTCAGCTCCATCATAACTAACATGCACATACACTATTATTGGTATAAATAATGATTACCTTCCCATAACATATATCGTCTCTTAAATATATTTAAAAACCTTTATTATATTCATCACATGTGCTTCTTTTCTTAATATATGTGCTTTATTATTATATTTATTTATACTTATTTGGTTATGTAACCCCACCCCCACCCCGTACTCTCTCTCTCTCTCTCTCTCTATATATATATATATATATATATATATATATATATATATATATATATATATATATATATATATATATATATATATATATATATATATATATATATATATATATATATATATATATATATATATATATATATATATATATATATTATATATTATATATATATATATATATATATATATATATATATATATATATATATATATATATATATATATATATTATATATTATATATATATATGTCGTACCTAATAGCCAGAACGCACTTCTCAGCCTACTATTCAAGGCCCGATTTGCCTAATAAGCCAAGTTTTCCTGAATTAATATTTTTTTTCTAATTTTTTTCTTATGAAATGATAAAGCTACCCATTTCATTATGTATGAGGTCAATTTTTTTTTATTGGAGTTAAAATTAACGTAGATATATGACCGAACCTAACCAACCCTACCTAACCTAACCTAACCTATCTCTTTCGGTTAGGTTAGGTTAGGTAGCAGAAAAAGTTAGGTTAGGTTAGGTTAGGTAGGTTAGGTAGTCGAAAAAACATTAATTCATGAAAACTTGGCTTATTATGCAAATTGGGCCATGCATAGTTGGCTGAGAAGTGCGTTCTGGCTATTAGGTACGACATATATATATATATATATATATATATTATATATATATATATATATGTCGTACCTAGTAGCCAGAACTCACTTCTCAGCCTACTATGCAAGGCCCGATTTGCCTAATAAGCCAAGTTTTCCTGAATTAATATATTTTCTCTATTTTTTTTCTTATGAAATGATAAAGCTTCCCATTTCATTATGTATGAGGTCAATTGTTTTTTATTGGAGATAAATTAACGTAGATATATGACCGAACCTAACCAACCCTACCTAACCTAACCTAACCTATCTTTATAGGTTAGGTTAGGTTAGGTAGCCGAAAAAGTTAGGTTAGGTTAGGTTAGGTAGGTTAGGTAGTCGAAAAACAATTAATTCATGAAAACTTGGCTTATTAGGCAAATCGGGCCTGGCATAGTAGGCTGAGAAGTGAGTTCTGGCTACTAGGTACGACATATATATATATATATTATATATATATATATATATATATATATATATATATATATATATATATTATATATATATATATATATATATATATATATATATATATATATATATATATATATATATATATATATATATATATATATATATATATATATATATATATATATATATATATATATATTATATATTATATATTCCACCCCCTCTTCCTCCAACCCCGTACTCTCTTGTGTGTATACATAAGCATGTATGCTGTAAAATGTTCCTCACTGATTAACAGAGTTGGAAGTGAAATATCTATCAACTGAAGAATAAGTGAACAGATCCCGGGGATATACAGTACAAACTGTGTGAAAGTCCAGCAAAGAGATACGACCACAGCAGAAATATGTGGGAACTAGCCCGCGCCTTATGACGAGAGACGGCACTCAATTCATAAATAAATGGTTTCACTACCTGAACGGCCCTGAGCTGCTCCTGCAGGCGGGCTATGGTGTCCGCCTGCCTCGTCACCGTCTGCACCAGCTGGTCCCTAGAAGCCCGTCGCCTACCGGAGCGGGGGTCCCTCAGTCCTGCCAGACTCTCTGCCTGCCGCACCGCCTCCTCCAGCCTCCATACCTTGTCCTCCAGCGTCCGCACCGACACCAGCAGCTCACTGTTCTCCTGTGCCGTCAGAAGGGTTCCGTCAGTGTCGTGTGGCGGAAAATCCACGTTATCTTCGGTAACGTTATAGCTTTTTGACCAAAATATAATTATATAAAAAAAAACAATATAAGGTTTAATTATCATTAAAGGATAGTCACGTGTTAATTATCGCATATAAACATTATTTTAGTAGAGCTCTTTTAATACTTTTAGTTCTTTTAGTCAACCTTTTTCAGCCACGTTATTGTGACTCTTCCTCTGCATTTTTTTAGTACAGTTTTAACCTGAAGAGTTACTCTGGTCATCCAGCTAGGCTTTGTGGTAAATAAAGCCGACCTTTACAAGCGAAGTAACTTTATCCTTGTGCGCGCGTTCCTGCTTCTGCGCCTGCGCCCGGAGAGTGGCCACGGAGCGTTCCAGCATCTCTCGCTGGCGCAGTAGCTCCGGCACCGCCTCCTTCACCTCTCCGGGCATGTCCTCTCCTCCCCCCTGCAGGAGTAAGTCCTGTAAGCTTAGGCGCTGCAGGATCTTGACCCTCTGATGACGATAAAGTACTGTTATATATTCACGGGGTTATGTTATCACACATTAAGTTACAGATTCTTGACACTGACCTGGGCTAAGGGATCAACGGGGACCTGGGTCACCTTGTCAAGGTCAGGTCTGGTCCAGAACTCCTTGTGCCGTCCGCTACGGACGTATTTGTCATTGAGTGCCTGACGGGGAGACAGACGGTGACATTCTAGACCTAGAGGGACATTTAAGGCTTCCGGTTGCTTGGGTCAGGAAGTCTGTTAGGTTTATCAAGGTCCACACTCTCAAACGAATGATCGTCCGCAGGATGCGATCCACAACAGTCGTGTAATTCCCAGGTACCTATTGAATGCGCGTGGGTGAGACTTGTAACGCCAGGGTGAGTCCAGTAGTGAAAGACTGAGACTTTTAATGAATGATTAGACTTGTAAAGCTAGGGTGATACTTGTAGCCAATAGTGATACTAGCCAGGGGTGATACTGCGGTAGTCAGCGCAGTCGCCTCATTACAGCCGGGACCAAAGAGCCAGAGCTCAACCCCCGCAAGCACAACTAGGTGAGTACAGATTGAACCCGATTTCCTACCACATTTCCTTTCACCTGATGCTTCTGTTCGCCTAGCAGCAAATAGATACCTGGGAATTTGGAAACGTCGTGGGGTTGCATCTTAGGAAAGGACAGACGTTGTCCCACGAGAACATGGATAACCCAAACAGACTTCCTGTGACAGACAAAGAGAAACAACGATTATACAAAGACAAGGTAGGAAAACAAAACCATATCAAACCCATCCCCACCATTAACTTGTAAATAATAGGCATGTCACACATAGTCAATAACAAACACTTGTTTTATACAAACATGTAAGTGACACCGAACATCAAATTTGTTTAGAGGATTTTAATATAATTATGTGATCTAAGTAGTAGTAGCAGGCATCCATCAGTCTCAGGAGACTATGGAGTTGCGCTCTGGTTGTCGGTCTGGAGTGGCCTCACCAGGGCGCAAAGCCAGGGTAGGTTGATTTGAGGGAGAAGCTGTTACCCAGGCAGCAGGTCCCCCCTCTCCACGGCGCTGAAAGTCTCTACCGACTAATTTCTAAAAGTCTCTAAATCTACCGACTAATTTAACAGCATTCTTTAGCTTCTTGGGCTAGTGGAGGAGACAGTTGAGGGCTCCAATAGGTCTAAATGATGCTAACTGTTACCCTCACAGCTTCCTTGAGCTTCTTGGGCTGGTGGAGGAGTTGGGCGGCGCTGGCGAGATCGGCCAAGACGCGGGTGAGGTCTGTGGCGAGGATATGGTGGCGCTGCTGGAGGGTCCGCCCCTGCTGCGCCGCCGTCACCAGCCGCTGCCCCAGCTCCTTCACCTGACGGTCTCTCCCGCCCACCACCAACTGCGTCTCGTTCATCTCCTCCTCCAGCTGACGGCAACACCCGCAAGCTTATAGTTCTCCTATAAGCTTGCCTTATAGGAGAACTATAAGCTTGACTTATAGGAGAACTATAAGCTTGCCTTATAGGAGACCTATAAGGCAACTTATTGTCAATGAATCTGGAGACAGAACTTATTGTCTCCAGATTCACTGACTAGTTTGCTTTCAGAAATGGTTAGGCATTTTTTATTGTAATTATTACATGTAAGACAAGGCAAAACATTACAAACTGTGACTGAAATAATGACTGAATCATGAATTCAGTCATTATTTCAGAAATAAAACATTATTGTTCAGAAACAATAACAACAGTTGATTGGGAAGTTTTCATGCTTGTAAACTGTTTAATAAATGTAACCAAAGTCGTCAAAGATTGAGGAAAGATGTACACGTTCGTAAGTACTTGCGTAACTGGTTCGTGAATCTGGCCCTAGGTCAGAAAGTAGGGACAGGAACAAGTCAGAAGATAGCCGATCAGAAAGTAGAGGCAGGAACAAGTCAGAAGATAGCATGTCAGAAAGTAGAGGCAGGAACAAGTCAGAGGATAGCATGTCAGAAAGTAGAGGCAAGAACAAGTCAGAAGATAGCATGTCAGAAAGTAGAGGCAGGAACAAGTCAGAAGATAGCATGTCAGAAAGTAGAGGCAGGAACAAGTCAGAAGATAGCATGTCAGAAAGTAGAGGCAGGAATAAGTCAGAAGATAGCATGTCAGAAAGTAGGGATAGTAACAGCAGAACTATAAGACAGTATAACTACTATATACACTAAACCAGCATTAAGAGAGCACTCATATACACTTATGAGACACACGTTTTCTGTGGAAGCTTCCACGAGCAGCAACAGAAAATGGATGCAGTGTGGTGGAAATACCACCCTATCAACACCCTAAAGTATGTTGACCAGACCACACACTAGAAGGTGAAGAGACGACGACGTTTCGGTCCGTCCTGGACTATTCAATCCGACTTGAGAATGGTCCATGACGGACCGAAACGTCGTCGTCCCTTCACCTTCTAGTGTGTGGTCTGCTGGTCAACAACAATCGTATCAGTAGCCACCAACTGAATATTACTGAACCACTTAAAACCCCTGCGGGTAAAACTACGCAAATAATCATATATATATATATATATATATATATATATATATATATATATATATATATATATATATATATATATATCCGTATATGGAGGAAGATTATTGATGTTATTAATTAAACACGCAGAGCATTCCATACTAGTGTGATGGTTACTGATGGTGGCGAAGAAGCCTGAGGGCCAGTCACGAAGCAGTTACGCAAGTACTTACGAACGTGTACATCTTTCCTCAATCTTTGACGGTTTTGGTTACATTTATTAAACAGTTTACAAGCATGAAAACTTCCCAAACAACTGTTGTTATTGTTATAAACAGCCTCCTGGTGCTTCGGAGCTCATTAACTGTTTAATAATTGCAAACAAAGCCGTAAAAGATTGAGAAAAGATGGACAGGTTTGTAAGTGCTTGCGTAACTGTTTCGTGAATCTGACCCCTGCTGACTAACCTGCTTGATTTGTTGAGCTCGCTGCTCGAGCGCCGTCTGCAGTGGGTCAAGCTCTTCCTTGAGTTGGCCCAGCTGATGGTCGAGGAGGAACCGCTGCTTCTCCAGCTCACTGACACGTTCTCTCGTGTTACTGATCTTGTTCTCCTGTAGCGGAAGTCTAGAATCAGATCCTCCTGTCTTCTCATGTCAACTGCTTATCACAAGGATTGATTCATAGTGTTCCTCACACTCATTCGCACTAACATATCCATAGGGGAGAGGTCGATAACCCTATCATAGCCATACACCATGGCCATAACATCACCGGGTAACTTGCTATTATTAAAAATACAAAAAAAAATACAAGAAAACCTTGATGACCAGATCAGCATGTTTAATTATAATAATGTTACTGTTATCGGGGACAGGAGGCCTGTACTTAGGGCTGTACTTAGGCCGTCATCGAGGCCCCCTTCTAGGTCGAACTAATGACCTTTTCCCTTTGCCAGGGCGTAACCCCACAGTACACCAGTAGATTGACATTTGAGAGGCGGGACCAAAGAGCCGTAACTCAACCACCTCGAGCACAACGAGGTGAGTACAACAGTTGCCTAGCTCCCGGGTGCCCACTTGTAGCTAAGGAACAGTGTCACTTACCTTGTGGTGTGAGTCAGAGAGAGAGACTTACCCTATCACGGATGATATCGTCTCTGTGATTGACCTCCTTCCTGAGAGCAGCCAGCTCCCGCTCCAGGCCCCGGATGGTCGACTGCAGCTTGGCCTTCTCCTCCCCCAGAGCCTTCACCTCGCCGTCCTTCTGCTCACACTCCCTCTGCATGCTAAACACACAATACAAGTCCCAGACGCTCACTACATGTTTACCCTCCAGCCAGTGCCAGACACACACACGTTTACACTCTCTCTCTCTCTCTCTCTCTCTCTCTCTCTCTCTCTCTCTCTCTCTCTCTCTCTCTCTCTCTCTCTCTCTCTCTTTCTCTCAGTAATATTAAAGTAACAGAAAGTAATAGTAATTAAAGATAACAGTAATATTAAAGCCCAATAATAACCACAAAGCACCAAAATTGTGTGTAAATTGTATAATATATGAGCCAATTATTTTACCGTGTGTGTACATGATTTATCTCAGCAGACAATGTGTCAGTTTCAGAACTCGTTAAGTTTAAGCTTACGTGACGTAGTTCTTCCTGAGGGCGGCCTTCTCGCTGCGCAGTTTGATGACGTTCTGGTGTTCCTCAGCCAGCTGGGTGTGGAGGCTGGCCCGCACCTGCCCCAGCTCCGCCTCCGTCGACGCCTCCACCAGGCGAACGATCTCCGCCCCTTCACTGCGTTCTCGCTCTAGCTCCGAGCTCGTCTGTTGTGTCAAAGTTTACCTTATTTGTTTGATTTATATCCTACAGTACCAGCGCCCAGTGTCATCTATCATAGTGTCACATCCGGGGTGTCACCTCCCGGGGTGTCACCTCTTAGGGTGTCACCTCCCAGGGCCTTACCTTCTCTAGGTCCGTCTTGAGCTGTTGCATCACTGACTCCTGTTGATCCAGACGCTCCTGTAGCTCCTTCTTCGTTCTCTGCACTGCTTCTCCCACTTGTCTGGAGGAATCATATTCTGTCAGTGTCTGGTGGCACCACAGTCTGTCAGTGTCTGGTGGCACCACAATCTGTCAGTGTCTGGTGGCACCACAGTCTGTCAGTGTCTGGTGGCACCACAATCTGTCAGTGTCTGGTGGCACCACAGTCTGTCAGTGTCTGGTGGCACCACAGTCTGTCAGTGTCTGGTGGCACCACAGTCTGTCAGTGTCTGGTGGCACCACAATCTGTCAGTGTCTGGTGGCACCACAATCTGTCAGTGTCTGGTGGCACCACAGTCTGTCAGTGTCTGGTGGCACCACAATCTGTCAGTGTCTGGTGGCACCACAGTCTGTCAGTGTCTGGTGGCACCACAATCTGTCAGTGTCTGGTGGCACCACAGTCTGTCAGTGCCTGGGTGGCACCACCACAGTCTGTCAGTGTCTGGTGGCACCACAGTCTGTCAGTGTCTGGTGGCACCACAGTCTGTCAGTGTCTGGTGGCACCACAATCTGTCAGTGTCTGGTGGCACCACAGTCTGTCAGTGTCTGGTGGCACCACAATCTGTCAGTGTCTGGTGGCACCACAGTCTGTCAGTGTCTGGTGGCACCACAATCTGTCAGTGTCTGGTGGCACCACAATCTGTCAGTGTCTGGTGGCACCACAGTCTGTCAGTGTCTGGTGGCACCACAATCTGTCAGTGTCTGGTGGCACCACAGTCTGTCAGTGTCTGGTGGCACCACAATCTGTCAGTGTCTGGTGGCACCACAGTCTGTCAGTGCCTGGGTGGCACCACCACAGTCTGTCAGTGTCTGGTGGCACCACAGTCTGTCAGTGCCTGGGTGGCACCACAGTCTGTCAGTGCCTGGGTGGCACCACAGTCTGTCAGTGCCTGGGTGGCACCACAGTCTGTCAGTGCCTGGGTGGCACCACAGTCTGTCAGTGTCTGGGTGGCACCACAGTCTGTCAGTGCCTGGGTGGCACCACAGTCTGTCAGTGCCTGGGTGGCACCACAGTCTGTCAGTGCCTGGGTGGCACCACAGTCTGTCAGTGTCAGTGCCTGGGTGGCACCACAGTCTGTCAGTGTCTGGGTGGCACCACAGTCTGTCAGTGTCTGGTGGCACCACAGTCTGTCAGTGTCTGGTGGCACCACAGTCTGTCAGTGTCTGGGCGGCACCAACCATTAACCTCACTAATAAGATGCGCTTGGTTCCGCTAAACAAATTATTTAAAATATTATTTACTCCATTTTAGCCAGAATCTCCCGACGTGTCAAGTATCTCGTCCTCACCTGTCAAGGGTCCGCTGCATCTCCTTGAGCTTAGCCTCGAGCTTGTCATGCTTGGAGTACTCGTAGAGGAGCTTCTTTCTCAGCTCCTGCTGGTGCTCGGCCAAGACCCCCTGGTGCTCGTACTTGAGCTGAGACACTGCCTCCTTCTGGCTCTCCTTCAGGCTCTCTCGCTCCTTCTCCAGCCTCTGTCAGCGGGAATATATTGTGGAGCTACTGAAACCCACAACACGAAGGTCTTAGACTACTGCAGGAAGGTCTTAGACTACTGCAGGAAGGTCTTAGACTACAGCAGGAAGGTCTTAGACTACAGCAGGAAGGTCTTAGACTACAGCAGGAAGGTCTTAGACTACAGCAGGAAGGTCTTAGACTACAGCAGGAAGGTCTTAGACTACAGCAGGAAGGTCTTAGACTACAGCAGGAAGGTCTTAGACTAAAGCAGGAAGGTCTTAGACTACTGCAGGAAGGTCTTAGACTACAGCAGGAAGGTCTTAGACTACTGCAGGAAGGTCTTAAACTACAGCAGGAAGGTCTTAGACTAGACTAAAGCAGGAAGGTCTTAGACTACAGCAGGAAGGTCTTAGACTACAGCAGGAAGGTCTTAGACTAGACTAGCAGGAAGGTCTTAGACTACAGCAGGAAGGTCTTAGACTACTGCAGGAAGGTCTTAGACTACAGCAGGAAGGTCTTAGACTACTGCAGGAAGGTCTTAAACTACAGCAGAAAGGTCTTAAACTACAGCAGGAAGGTCTTAGACTAAGCTTAAATGACCGGATCTGGTAACCAACTGTATGGTGTCAATTCATCTGGTTTACGATGGTCTGGTAGTATGGTGTGGTATGGTATGTAATTAGTATGGTGTAATTTACCTGGTCGACAATGGCCTAGTAGGTACCTGTATGGTGTCGTTCATCTGGTCGACGATGGCCTGGTAGCGGGCGACGAGGGCGTCCCTGCTAGAGGAGAACTCTTGCTGCTGGAGGTTGAGGTGGACCTCCTTGTCCCTGGCCAGGTAGGACACCCGTCGCTCCAGCTCCTCCACGTGATCCTTGGTGTTCTGTCCAGAGGCACACATGCTCAGGCTCTCTCTCTCTCTCTTGCTCTCTCTCTCTTGCTCTCTCTCTCTTGCTCTCTCTCTCTCTCTCTCTCACACACCTCTGAATTATTTTAACTTATTTGTATATTTAATTATCATTAATACTAATACAAAAGAAAATATATATTTTTGTCATTATTTTAATTATTATTATTGGTATACTTATTATTATCGTTGGAAAGCCTTGCTCTCACCCACCCAAGTGTTTAACTACTGAAATGACTAGTGATGCCAGCCCTCTTATTTTCATTATTTCCGAGGCATTGAAATCACCACGTGCATGTGTCTCTGTGATTAGAATTGGTGTTGTCTACTCCCACGGCCTCGTCCTTGTCTGATACTGCTCTATATCTTCATTCGTTCCCTATTGCAGTAGGGTCTAGTTACCCCTGCACCTTTCCTCATAACATTGCACTAGTGTGGGTTAAAGTCTAGCAGCCATTTTCAATCCACTTCTGGAGTGTGTCTAATTCCTTTTGTAATGTACCAAAGTCCTCCTGTGATAGAAGTCTTATCATTAGTTTTGCATCAACAGAAAACATTTATGAGATGAAACAGGTGCCATCCCAGGAAACAGGTGCCACCCCAGGCAGCAGGTGCCACCCCAGGCAGCAGGTGCCACCCCAGGCAGCAGGTGCCACCCCAGGCAGCAGGTGCCACCCCAGGCAGCAGGTGCCACCCCAGGCAGCAGGGGCCACGTTGACTGAGAGGTGTGAGGGCAGAGGCAGCACTCACCTGGAGGTCAGAGCGAGAGACGAGCATCTCAGGGACCAGCGGGAGGTCGTGGAGCCTGTCCCTGGCGGCCACGAACCCCGGGGACTTGTCAGTGAGCTCCGCCACCCGCCACACCATCACCACCCCGTCACCACCACACGTCACCACCTTGCCCTCGTCCGCCGTCACCACCACCTGTCAGCATAGTACAGTCACCCTCACCACACATCATCACTGGTTAATATATATATTAACAGATCTCAAACCCTGCCGCTGGGGGACAGAAGGAAATGCATATGCTGCTTAGCATTGTAAATGTGTGGCCACGTCTGTGGTAGAATATAACAATTAAAAAAACATACTGTCATCGCCAGGGGAACAGTCAGGCCCCCACCCACCACCTACCATCACCAGGGGGACAGCCAGGCCCCCACCCACCACCTACCATCACCAGGGGGACAGTCAGGGCCCTACCCACCACCTACCATCACCAGGGGAACAGCCAGGCCCCCACCCACCACCTACCATCACCAGGGGGGACAGTCAGGCCCCCACCCACCACCTACCATCACCAGGGGGGACAGTCAGGCCCCCCACCCACCACCTACCATCACCCGGGGAACAGCCAGGCCCCCACACACCACCTACCATCACCAGGGGGACAGTCAGGCCCCCACCCACCACCTACCATCACCAGGGGAACAGTCAGGCCCCCACCCACCACCTACCATCACCAGGGGAACAGCCAGGCCCCCACCCACCACCTACCATCACCAGGGGAACAGCCAGGCCCCCACCCACCACCTACCATCACCAGGGGGACAGTCAGGCCCCCACCCACCACCTACCATCACCAGGGGGACAGTCAGGGCCCCACCCACCACCTACCATCACCAGGGGAACAGCCAGGCCCCCACCCACCACCTACCATCACCAGGGGGGACAGTCAGGCCCCCACCCACCACCTACCATCACCAGGGGAACAGCCAGGCCCCCACCCACCACCTACCATCACCAGGGGAACAGCCAGGCCCCCACCCACCACCTACCATCACCAGGGGGACAGTCAGGGCCCCACCCACCACCTACCATCACCAGGGGGACAGTCAGGGCCCCACCCACCACCTACCATCACCAGGGGAACAGTCAGGCCCCCACCCACCACCTACCATCACCAGGGGGACAGTCAGGCCCCCACCCACCACCTACCATCACCAGGGGAACAGTCAGGCCCCCACCCACCACCTACCATCACCAGGGGAACAGCCAGGCCCCCACCCACCACCTACCATCACCAGGGGGACAGTCAGGGCCCCACCCACCACCTACCATCACCAGGGGGACAGTCAGGGCCCCACCCACCACCTACCATCACCAGGGGGACAGTCAGGCCCCCACCCACCACCTACCATCACCAGGGGGACAGTCAGGGCCCCACCCACCACCTACCATCACCAGGGGGACAGTCAGGGCCCCACCCACCACCTACCATCACCAGGGGTACAGCCAGGCCCCCACCCACCACCTACCATCACCAGGGGGGACAGTCAGGCCCCCACCCACCACCTACCATCACCAGGGGAACAGCCAGGCCCCCACCCACCACCTACCATCACCAGGGGAACAGCCAGGCCCCACCCACCACCTACCATCACCAGGGGGACAGTCAGGGCCCCACCCACCACCTACCATCACCAGGGGGACAGTCAGGGCCCCACCCACCACCTACCATCACCAGGGGAACAGTCAGGCCCCCACCCACCACCTACCATCACCAGGGGGACAATCAGGCCCCCACCCACCACCTACCATCACCAGGGGAACAGTCAGGCCCCCACCCACCACCTACCATCACCAGGGGAACAGCCAGGCCCCCACCCACCACCTACCATCACCAGGGGGACAGTCAGGGCCCCACCCACCACCTACCATCACCAGGGGGACAGTCAGGGCCCCACCCACCACCTACCATCACCAGGTTCCTATCGCCACCATACCTTGACGAGGGGAGCGCTGTGGGCCGCCAGGGAGGTGAAGGCCTGAGCCATGTGGAGCGGGAACTTATTGGTAAGGAGGCGGCCATTGGTGGTGCCCAGTGCCATCATGGTCTTGACCGGTGCCAGGCCTGCACACACCACCTCCCCTCCACCCTCGTACGGCATCTCCTGCAACATCTGACACACACACACACACACACATGCTTAATGCTAGGTTTAATGTACGCTATCCTAGGCCTAATATAGTGCATATATGTGCTATATTAGGCCTACGAGTGTTGATGCAGAAAACTTGAACTTTTTTCCCGTCCATCAATCGATTTTTTCGTTATAAGTATCATAGTTACATATTATATTATATGGTTATAATTTACTATAAGTCTTAATTTACTATAATACTTTTAGGTCGACGGGTTGTATTGTTGGCAATGCTGCTTTATTATTGGTAACGTTGCTTTATTATTGATAATGCTGCTATTACTATTGAAAATGCTGCTTTTCAATTGGTAATGCTTCTATCATTATTGGTAATGCTACTATTGTTACCTAAATTTATTATTATAAAATTCTGTATTTTATATATATATTTTATTTAGCTATTAATGGGTTAATTAATTAATAATTAATTAACGAGCAGATGGGCACTTTCAACGCTACATTTTTAAAATCTAAAAAAAAAATCCGTTCGCGTACTGTCTCGTGTAGGAAGTAACTAGTATCCGTGAGACAGGTGAAGAGTTTGACAGGTAACCCAGACAGTTAGGAAGACTGACCTGTCCGCCGGTAATCTCTGTGAAGCCTGAGGCGTGGCCCGCCAGGACCGTCGGCTTCCCGTCTAGCGACAAGCCCGCCGTCAGGTACTGGGCCGATGACAGCGATGTTACCTGTGTGTGCCTCCACCAGGAGCACGGGCAGGGAGACGGGTGGTGAGGGCTGTGTGGTGGTGGTGAGGGCTGTGTGGTGGTGAGGGTTGTGTGGTGGTGAGGGTTGTGTGGTGGTGGTGGTGATGAGAGTTGTGTGGTGGTGGTGAGGGCTGTGTCGTGATGGTGAGGGCTGTGTGGTGGTGGTGGTGAGGGCTGTGTGGTGGTGGTGGTGAGGGCTGTGTGGTGGTGGTGGTGAGGGCTGTGTGGTGGTGGTGAGGGCTGTGTGGTGGTGGTGAGGGCTGTGTGGTGGTGGTGAGGGCTGTGTGGTGGTGGTGGTGAGGGCTGTGTGGTGGTGGTGAGGGCTGTGTGGTGGTGGTGAGGGCTGTGTGATGGTGAGGGCTGTGTGGTGGTGGTGAGGGCTGTTTGATGGTGAGGGCTGGTGGTGGTGGTGAGGGCTGTGTGTGGTGGTGGTGAGGGCTGTGTGGTGGTGGTGAGGGCTGTGTGGTGGTGACGGCTGTGTGATGGTGAGGGCTGTGTGGTGGTGGTGAGGGTTGTGTGGTGGTGGTCAGGGTTGTGTGGTGGTGAAAGCTGTGTGGTGATTGTGGTGAGGGCTGTGTGGTGGTGGTGAGGGCTGTGTGGTGGTGGTGAGGGCTGTGTGGTACGTCAGGTGACGGCTGTGCGTGGTAAGGGCTGTGGGTGATCAGTCCAGGTTGTGTGGTGCCTGGTCAGGGTTGTGTGGTGGTGAAAGCTGTGTGGTGATTGTGACTAGGACTGTAGGGTGGTGGTGATCATGGTGACAGCTGTGGCAGGGCTAGTTGGGCAGTGTATAATACAAGTATTTTACCTAACGTCAAAAAATACTTCCACCATACACATATTTAATATTTAAGACAAGTACTTTAACATTAATTATAAGATGAAGATATATGTATATGTGTATGTCTGAATGGAATATTAAAAATATAGCCTAGTGTTAGACTATTTCCTCCCCCCCCCCTACCCACCAACAAGCGCGCACTCTCCTATTATTGTTGTCCATAACAATGAAGCCTAACTTTTTAGCTACATTTTAAACTTTATTTTAAAAAAATCGACCAACTATAAGTATTTTATGCTTCAAATTTGTATTCACTCACAACTGCTCTCAAATATAGGCAATACTGGACAGCTGCCAGCTATTTTATATACAAAAAATGGGGGAAAGGGGGGGCTATGAAAACTTAAACAATCAGATTAACTGAATAAATGCGCCTGAAAAGTATATTCAAATTTATTTACATCAAGAAAAGTAATATAGTTGAGGATTTTTTTTCCACTGTTTTGGCGGGAAAATTCAAATTTCGAAACATTATTTATGTGTTTAAATCATCGTTTCTCCTTTAGTTTCCATCTGATTTTGATGATATTTTTACGCGATGCACAACACCACAGGAGCTACACACACACACTGTTGGCGGAATTGTATTAAATTCCTAATACTACTGCTATTAGTAGTACAAATAATAGTACTTCCACTAGCATTACAGCAACTACTAATGTCACCACAACGACTCCTCAAATACTACCACTACATCTACTCCCTGAACTACTACCACAATTACCACAGGTACTACTACTACTACTGTTATTAAGGTCATACCTGCCAAAGTGACTGTCCCAGGCGAAGGTCCCAGCCCACGACGCCTCCATCACTACTGCACGACATTACTCCCCAGCTGTCCGGGTACCATCCCACACCTGTCACCTGCAACACACACACACACCTGTCTCACATGTGTTGCTCCTGCTGTCTCCCACACCTGTGTTGCTCCTGCTGCCTCCCACACACCTGTCACCTGCAACACACGTCTCACATTTGTTGTTCCTGCCTCCCACACCTGTGTCGATCCTGTCTCCCAAACCTGTGTTGTTCTTGCTCTAGCCACACTTGCAGCACACATCTGATTCATGTGTTGCTAATGTCCCCACCCACACACCTGTTACCTATAATACACACCCGTCTCACGTGTGTTGCTTTTCACCACACCTGTGTCACTTATGTCGTTCCTGCAACACTTTTGTATGTACTCCCCTACTAGCTCACACCTGCTGACGCTTTCTCTACCACACCTGTTGAGGCTTTCTCTACCACACCTGCTGAGGCTTTCTCTACTACACCTGCTGAGGCTTTCTCTACCACACCTGCTGAGGCTTACTTGCTAACACCCCTGCTGACTCTAATTGGTAGCACCTGCTGACGTTTACTCTAGTACACCTGCAGAAGCTTACACTAGAAAATGTTAACTCTTCTAATACCCATGCTGACGCTTCAGCACACCTGCTGACGCAAACTCCCCCTTGAAAACCCACCTTGGTTGAGTGCCCCTTCAGCGCGAAAACCCTTTTGAGGGTGAAATTGGAGGTAATAAGGAGGAGGTTTCCGTCAGCGGAGGCCAGCAGATGACCGCTGGGTGAGAAGCTGCAGACGCCGCACCTACGCGTCCGTACCTCGCTGTACGCCCTCACAGTGTCGAACAGCAGGTGGTACAACCGCAGCGCCTCCGTCAGTCCCACAGCTACGTGCAGCCCTGCCAAGGGAAGAGGAGAGGGGGAAGAAGCATTCATAAACCATTTACACATACATTATGAAACATCTTTCAACAATCATGGCGGGTTTGTTTACATTTATTAATCAGTTTTTGAGCTTGGAAACTCTCAACCCCCCCAAGGGTATTATTGTTATAAACAACCTCCTAGTGCTTTGGAGCTCGTATACCATTTAATAAGTCTTAAAGCCATCATAATTGTTGAAAGATGTACAGGTTTCTTAAGTGGGTTGCGTAAATGTTTGATGAATCCTAGGCTAGGCTGGTGAAGGAGGCTTCAGCAGACACACGAGGCTCGGTGAAGCAGAGGATGGAACAGGATGTTTCGGATAATAAGTAATTAGTTGGGTCCAGGGAGTAGGGATTATATATGAATGGGTAATTAGGGAAATCAAAAAGGTTAGAGAAGAATAGCTAATTAAAGAGGTAAGGGTATCAGGAACAAGAATAAATATCTGGGTCAAGGGGTCGGGCAGATGAATAGGTAGTGAGATAAATGACTCAGGGAAAAAATATGGGTCATTAACATTTCTGGTACAAAATTAATGAGTGGCGAAGAGAGACAAGGCCTAATGCCGTGAGTGCTTGGGTCTCCTGGGGAAGGCCGAGGAACACCACAAATACAGGTATAAGGATCCTAGCCAACTACTAAACTGTATTCTTAACCTCTTAATTCTCAAACTGTTTAAATAACGCAAACTTCGAAGCAGACGTTCAGGGTGTAGCGAGATGGACACTGAGCCTGATGGGTGTAGGCAGGAGACTATACCTGTTGGGTGTAGCGAGAGAGAGAAGACATCGTCCTTGAAGGCGTGGGTGAGAAGGAGAGTGTGACGGAGGTAATCCCAGACACGTAGGGTTCTGTCCTGGCCGATGGTGACCAGGAGGGGCTTCCAGAGGCAGGCGGCGGCATCCACGATCCCGCCCTGGTGGTGACGCGCGTGCAGCGGCGAGAACACCAGGCTCGACAGCTGTTCACTCAACCAAGTTACTCTCTTCCCTTAGGTAGTCTGGACCAGGATTCACCAAGCACCTCTTACGAAGTATGTACATATTTCCTAATTATCAAAGCATAGTGTTTATTGAAGTTTATGAGCTCAGAAGCACTACGAAGTTATCTATAAAAATAACCATGGGTTGCGATGTTTCAAAGCTCGTAAACTTTCGAATAAATACAAACTAAGCAACAATGTTTGAGAAAAGATGTACAGCTTGATAAATCGTGGCCCTAGGCATGATAATATTACGCGTTCCCATGAGATGGTGTTAGAGTTTGCTGTTGTGAGGCCGGTGTGTAGGTATGTGAATGTGTCTGCAGCATTACAACATTGCTAATGTGTCGCATAGGCTGTGCTACAAGCCTAATAAAGTGCAATTTATGAACACTAGAAGAGTGATTTTGAGCTGTTATCGGGCCAAATGTACTTGTTACGTTACATTAAAGTATTCTAAATGGGTCTGCATCCAAGTCACCCTCCATTTAGGTAGAGGCCCCATGGGCCTGTACCTAAATGGTGCAATGTCAAAAGGGTCTGCAGCCTCTTAGGTCTATCTCCTCGATCAAGGACGAGTATAAAATATTTTAATCAGTGATACTAACATTAACTATCTCAAATAGCGGGAAAAGTGATATCAAAAGAGAGAAGGATGTAAGAGTGAGTTTACTCATGAAAGAGGCACCTTGGAGGCCTCGAGGCTGGGCAGCGGGTTGGTGAAGAGCTGGTTGGTGTGGGTGGCAGCGACGATGGTCTTCTCCCCCGGGGAGAGCGAGAGTGTGGTGATGTTGTGCTCGCCTCGACCACTCACCAGGGCTGCTGGACTAGGCTCGCACACACGCAGCATGTATCTCTGTCACACACAACATGCTCACTTCATTTATTATGCATTGATTTTAACTGTTGCCACCAGAGGCGTCTAGTTTATTGTGCACCTCATACTCATCTTGTGAGCGGTAGCGCACAAAAAGCATTACAGACGGCACAATCCTGAGTGGAGATTATTATATTACAATTATACCCTATACCCATCCTGTGGGTGGTAGTGAACAAGGTTACACAGGGGGCTAAATGCTACGTGCATCTGTGTCTACGCCAGAATGTATTAATTAAACAAATTGTTCCTTCTTGTATACAAATAAATAACCAATATGGGCGCAAGATATCCCAAATATTCCCTTAGGTAAGAAAGTGACAGCAATAATGAACTAGTTACAGACTTTGTTAACATGTGAGGTCAACAGTTTATTCAGTTTTAGTATGGACACAACAACACCTCACTCTTAAGTTACCTAAAAAGTAACCAGGTCTACTGATCTTGAAAAATACATGTGAAGTGTTTCGAAATTAATAATTAGTATAAAGTTGTACTATATTTTCCAAAAAAGCAGCACAACATGCTCAGCAGGGCAGTATAATTATGTTATGATTATATTCCTCAATATTAATAATTCTTAAACAGTCAGCCATTTAATTTATGAGGTAAAAATAATATTTTAATGTTTTTCTTGTTAAGCTAGCAATTATTTTTTTATCTCTACCTTGAAGGGGTTCACATTCTGGGTCTTCTTCATAACCTGCTTTTTTCAATGCATATTTTTTAATGTAAAATACTGTTATATTTTGCTGGACAGTTTTTGCCAAGTCCCTTTGATAATATTTTTTTCTAGAAAGACAAATAATATCAATGCGTCTAATGATTTCACATGTAAAGGCTATATTGATTTACTTATATTTATTTCATAAATATTTGAATGGTTTAACTCGTATTAAATGAGCCAACGGGACAGATGACAATTTAATTTTAAATTTTATTTAATTTATCAAACAATTTTATTGTTTTGCAACATAAAATTATCCCCCATAGCCTACCATGTGTATTCACCTATTTGTGCTTGCAGGGGGTTGAGCTCTGGCTCTTTGGTCCCGCCTCTCAACCGCCAATCAGAGGCGGTTGTGTGGTTTCGGACCTTAGCTTCCCCGCGGCCCGGTCATCCCCCAGGCCTCCTAGGCCAGCCTAGTCAAACCTATGCGCCGCCAAAGACCGTACGGGTGCCCCGGAATTAATGTTTCCCAATTGTATATGTTACATTAATCCCAGCACAAATATCAACGTCTCAGTACTAGAATTTGTGCTCGGATAAACTTTTCAACTGTATTGAAAAGAAAGCTGATTTGGGTAGATAGGTTGCGAGAAGCATCTTGTATTTTAGTAAACATCTCACTAAAGAGCTTCGGATATATATATACCTGAAAGTGGTGCTCATTGATGTCATCGCTCTTCTGGAAGACGAATATCTTGTCGGGTCCGCAGGCGCAGAGGAACCCGCCGGTGAAGACAGCCAGGGCTGTTACCCGCCGGTGTCGCGGACCCGGGCTGCGGCCCACCAGCGCTGCTACACCTTCTCCAGGAGACCGTCTCTCGCTCTCCCTGGTACACACACACTGTATTAGGTGTACACGGTACTCACACAACCCGTGGTACATACATCATGTATGGTACACACAGTGAGTACACGGTCTCTACGCATCTCTGGTACACACACACTGTGTAAGGTGTACACGGTACTCACACAACCCGTGGTACACATCATGTATGGTATTAGGTGTACACGGTACTCACACAACCCGTGGTACATACATCATGTATGGTACACACAGTGTTAGGTGTACACGGTACTCACACAACCCGTGGTACATGCATCATGTCTGTACACACACACTGTGTAAGGTGTACACGGTACACACACACTGCGTAAGGTGTACACGGTACTCACACAACCCGTGGTACATACATCATGTATGGTACACACAGTGTTAGGTGTACACGGTACTCACACAACCCGTGGTACATGCATCATGTCTGGTACACACACACTGTGTAAGGTGTACACGGTACTCACACAACCCGTGGTACATGCATCATGTATGGTACACACACACTGTGTAAGGTGTACACGGTACTCACACAACCCGTGGTACATGCATCATGTATGGTACACACACATTGTTAGGTGTACACGGTACTCACACAACCCGTGATACATGCATCATGTATGGTACACACACTGTGTTAGGTGTACACGGTACTCACACAACCCGTGGTACATTTGTTATTTTGATACAATATACGGTACAAACTAAAGCCATCGTACACGCACAATGTACAGTACACACGTCGTGGTACACAGAGTAATATACGGTAAATAGCATATGGTACACACACACAAACTATGGTACATGCACAATATACGGTAATACCGTAATGCCATTTTATTGCCACAATCATATGTAAAAATAAAAATAAAAATACAACAAAATTAATAAAACTGCATTTTAATTTTCTTTAAATTTGTGCATTGATCATTTTCTGTTATTGTTTTAGCTTTTTCATTTTTACATATTAATAAAAAGTTAATAAAATACCTATGTTAATAATTATTAACATAGCTAATTAACATAATAAAATGTTAATAATTAGTGTTAATAAAACAGCATTTCGGTAAAGGAAGTTTTTGGACACCTTATATATGTTTAAGCTGGTCAGAATTGCATTTCACCTTTGAAAGCACACATTAATCACATTATGTGCAAAAGAACATACCTCGAACACTTTGTAGGACTGACGAAAATATACGTATTTATTTGATGGTTACCATTGTAAAGTCACTTTACAATGGTACTTTACAATGGTAACGATGGTTACCATTGTAAAGGTACTACACCTGTAGTTGATTGCTCAATAAATCACTGCATTATATGATGTCTAACTTATCTCTAACCCTGTCCATGGAGGACAGAAGATAATATATTATATGCTGGCTACCATTGTAAGTGTATGCCACGTCTATGACAAAAAAGTCCCCGACCATCCGACTGGTCGGCCACCATTCCTTTCGACCGTCCTATCCCATATCTTTTGCCTTATATCCCTTCAATTAAATCATTCAAAATTACGAGGTATATAGTCGTAATGGCTACACCATGAGGCGTAATACAATTATCGGTGTATATACACCGAGTTTACTGCAGTCCTAGACTATGTTCAAGACTAAAGTATACTTGCTGGTTGGTCTGTAAACCATTGAAAATAGCCTTTCAGAGGTTGATAGGCATTAGGCCAGCACCAAATCAAACCAAGTGCTGTCTCCTGATAAATTATCTTACCTATTCATCGGAAATTATTTAAGAATAGGATTTATTTATACGGAATAGTTTAACAAAAGACTAAAGTTTCCTATTCAACATGCAAAACAAAAACCAAATAGCCTACTCGATAATATGGCCAGAAAGAACATACAATTAAAGATACTATCCACAAAGATTAGAGATCACAGATATCAAATAACACGGGTTAAGAAGATATCCAATAACAAGGGGCAGGGCAATAAGAGAGTAAACAACACCTTCCACCAGCAGGATGTAATATAGACCCAATAAGAACACTTACGGTCCAAGCTCTGGGTCGGTGATGTGAATCTCAGCCCTGAGGTCGCCCTCCTCCAGGACCAGCACCGTCCCCGCCTCCGTCCCCACCAGCAGCGTGTGTTGGTCTGCCCACACCTGTCCATATATACTGAGCAACCGCTGGACTCTCGTTATACTCCACACGTGAATGTTCAATATGTTTTATAGAAAAATATAAAGGGAAGTTATTTTGTATTTAATAATATATGGCTAGTGAGTTATTAACTTATAGAAAATGGGGAATAATGAACTTTTATTTAAGGGGAAGTTGAGTCACAAACTGAAGATTCGCTATTAACTTTAGGCTACCATATTTACCAGGAAACATCTCTTCTCCGAGAGGTTTATATCCTAGCAGTAGCGGGAATCGACACAACTCTAAGAACTAACAGTTGGGATAGTTCCAAACTGTCATCCTGCTTCCGTGAGCTGACATATGGTTCTGGCCTACCTGGCACTGACAGTTGTGGTTCTGTCCACCCTGGTAGCCCCATGTCTTGAGAAGCTTGTCGTTGAGCCGGAAGAGCTTGAGGACGCGCTCGCCCACGACAGAGAGGACGCCGTTGTCCTCTGGGTGATAACTGAGGGAGGCCACTGGGCCCAGGCCGGGCATGTCGCTCAGCCGCAGCACCGAGAACACCTGCCGGAGGTCACCACAACAGATTTGCAAGCGTATGTTGGACAAATACATAGTGAGATAGTACGGGTTTAAAGAGGAGCTGCATGTCATAGCTTCTGAACGTTTTCTGAATTATGGGCTCACCATAGCCCGTGCTACATGGACACTTCGTCCTGAGTAGCTAAATCTTTAACAACAACAACGTTTTCTGAAATTTCCGCTATTTGTTTCGGGTTCTAATATTTAATGTAGCCGTACACACTGAACACGAGGAAAATAAAAAGTGTGTTGAGTGTAATGTTGTGTGCTACGTACCTTGCCCTTCTCCCAGACGAAGAGAACGAGAGTCCAGTCCGGGGGTCCTCCCTGGGCCGCCACTATCCGCTCGTCCGAGCTGAAGGCGACCGCTACGTATTTCTGGCTAGTCATCTCTCCGCAGCTGAGGAACCGCAGCCGCTTGCGGGCCACGACGTCCCATACACTGACGGCCGGGTTCTCCCCCGCTCGACACACACCCAGGTACTGTCTGCACCATCAACACCCCCGTCATTACTTCCTTGCACTGTCTCCAACATCATGAGTGTCTACACAAACTATTGACTTGTGCACAAGTTACAAGATACATTATAGGGTTTGTCACGCTTGAATTATATAACAAAGTTGTTTACTGTTACCTTATCAAGAGTAAATATCATACTGTAAATGTGAAGGAAGAAACATGGTTAAGAAAAACTTCATTCTTTAAGAACTAACTGTAGGAAACGTGTATATTAGGACATGTAACTGGGAGAAACGACGGCACAATTACTACATTTCAAGACCACTCACATTGACGTCATTGTAAACAAAAAAAATCAATATGTACGCATGTGAGCAATGTGAAGTCACTAACACACATGTACACTTTGTTCTCTCGTGGCAAGTGTACAATTTGGACACACGCAGATGAGCCACAGAAATGTTAGGAAATACTCGTTTGCAGTGAATATTAAACATGTGGAATGCTCTTGAACCACAAAAGGTGGTAACACTCCATTATTCACAGAGCTTGATCAGTTGCTAATATAAAAGATATAATACCTAATATATCAAAAGTGTAATCAAAACCCACTGTAGTATTTTTATATATAAACTATTCATGTAATTATACTGTGGATTTATGCGTAGTTAGATTTATGTAAGGTTAGGTAAGGTGTTTTAGTAGCCTGACCTGAGGCTAGGCTCCTCCGACCAGGCGACCGACCCCGCAGTTCATGCATTAATGTTGATGTTCTATGTATTCAAAATCCTTATATTTTCTCATATGCAAATTAGCATTATTATATATCAGAACTTGGTGTATAGTTATGCCTGAATTAGGTTAGGTTTTTAGGTCCTATTGTCAATTATTTGTATTTGCAGTACATGAGTGAAGTATTTACAGCGGTGCGATTCAAACAGAAGAGTCAACGGAGCGTGTTCGAGAAATGTTCAAACGTCATCAGTTGTTTGTCGCAGCCTGTCCTCATCAACAAGGGCGAAATGCTCGTTAATCCAGCATGCAAACGCGCTGTTTATGAATGAAAAGGGGCCTCGCGGCTGAGTGGACAGCGCTTGGGGGTCGTAGTCCTAAAGGCCTGGGTTCGATCCCCCGACAGAGGCGGAAATAAATGGGCAAAGTGTCTTTCACCCTGATTTGCAGTGTGTTGCAAATAGGAACAGCAGTACCTATTTACTGCTGTTCACCTAACAGTAAATAGGTACCTGGGAGTTAGACGGCTGCTTCCTGGGTATGTGTGCGTGTGTAAGAGAAATATATATAGTAGACATAATAGAGGAAAAATAAATTGTTTAAAAAGGTGGTGGTCCAAGAGCTAATAGCTCGATTCTGCAGATACAATTAGTAATTACCTTTTAGGGGAAATAGCGAGAGCGGTGGGTGTAGCCTCCTCAGCGATGCTGATGAAGTGTTGTTGGTGACTAGCTGTGTGGTGGAGCACCAGGAAGGCACCAGCAGGGTAGGCGACGGTGTCCGGGTCCAGGTGCACCACACACCCGTGGACCTCACCACGCAGCCCGAACACATGCTCCGGCTCCACCTCCCCCACCATCCTCCTACTCCTGGTGATGGAGAGACTGGTGACAGAGGAGAGAGAGAGCGTAGCCTACTGGATACAGGCGGCCATGGGCCCCCCCGGACCCTGATATAGTCAAAAGACTGTCATTCCTGTGTCTGGGTAACTGTTTATTGGGTCTACAGTCGCCGTCATATATAATGAGGCCTTCAACACTCACTATACAGTATAAACAAAGTAGCCTACATTGTACACAGTGTAGCCTACTCTATACATTATAACCAATGTGTCCTGTACTGTACAGTATAACCACAGTGTTTTACATAATACAGTACAGTATAGCCACCGTGTGCTGCACTATACAAGATATCCACCGTGTTCCACACTATAGACTAGTGTTCTACACTATACATGTTCAGCTTTCCTTATACTGTGTTTCCCTTGCACTCTAGGTCACGTAGTCAGTCCTCCCCCCCCCCTCCCTAGGCTTATCACACATTTTGGTGCACAAAAAATCACATTAATTGTATGAATCAGTGAGAAAATCAGTAGGAGCCGTATGAGGATTCGAACCTTTATGTTGGGTACTCCCAAGCACAGGCCCTGTGTACTCACCTAGTTGTACTCACCCCTAGTTGTGGTTGAGCTCAGGTTTTTTGGTCCCGCCTTTCAACTGTCAATCAACTGGTGTACAAGTTCCTGAGCCTATTGGGCTCTATCATAGCTATATTTGAAACTGTGTATGAAGTCAGCCTCCACCACATCACTGACTGATGCATTCCATTTGTCAACTACTCTGACACTGAAAAAGTTCTTTCTAATGTCTCTGTGGCTCATTTGGGTACTCAGCTTCCACCTGTGTCCCCTTGTAAGCGTGATCCTGTGGTCCCGGGTTCGATCCCGGGCGCAGGCGAGAAACGTTGGGCAGAGTTTCTTTCACCCTATGCCCGTTACCTAGCAGTAAATAGGTACCTGGGAGTTAGTCAGCTGTCACGGGCTGCTTCCTGGTGTGTGTGTGGTGTGTGGAAAAAAATAGTAGTAGTAGTAGAAACAGTTGATTGACAAATGAGAGGCGGGCCGAAAGAGCAGAGCTCAACCCCCGCAAGCACAACTAGGTGAATACACACACACACACACACGTGAGTGTGTGTGAGAGAGAAAGAAAGAAATATATAGTAGATGCGATAGAAGAAAATAGATCTAGAGTCAGTACTTTAGACAACCGACGGTTGGAATGGCGGGGTCCAAGAGCTAACATCCTGTAGGCACAAATAATAATAAAATAAACACACATTCGTTTATCTGTTTACTTCCTCTTCATCAGCCACTGCCTGTCTATTTACCATTATCTATCTTTATCATGCGATTTGATTAACTTAACTATATCTAAAATATTAACTTAATTGTCTATCTATCCAATATCCCTCGATCCAGTTATCTATCTCTTTCCCTATCTCTCTGTATCATTCATTCTTCACTGTTTATTTCACCGTATCAACAGATAACGCCAAAATTTAATATAATTGAGCTGTAACACGTCACAGTTTGCTCAGTCTCCCAATCCACTAGCGAGATATCACGTCTTATCTACCCCCCATAGAAGATAAGGTATAATACTTCATTATAAAATCATTCATTAATGGGAATCATTCAGTAACTTACGTGAGCTGGAGACAGTCGCCTCACTGTGCGGTACCGGCGTCTCGCGTTGCCATGGCAACCTGCTGTGTTGTAGAAAATGGGAAATTACGAGTTTAAAGCATGGCGTTCATGGTACACTTATATTTTTCCGGGTCTTGGTAATGTTACAGTTCAAATTAATATGATATTGAACGGGTAGCTGTAATTCGTGTATTAAATGGTATGCAATTTATTTATATAATGATGTCAGTAAAATTTGTAGCTTTACAATACGTTAAATATACTGAAAATAACACATTGGTAGGTCAGAAGACTCATTCACCCAAAACAAACGAATCTAAATCAATCTTATAATTACTCATTTTGTCAGGGACAGAAGGGATATATATATATATATATATATATATATATATATATATATATATATATATATATATATATATATATATATATATATATATATATATATATATATATATATATATATATATTTATATATATACATATATATATATATATATATATATATATATATTATATATATATTCAAGTGTACCATGAATATGTATATGTCGTACCTAGTAGCCAGAACGCACTTATCAGCCTACTATGCAAGGCCCGATTTGCCTAATAAGCCAAGTTTTCCTGAATTAATATATTTTCTCTAATTTTTTTCTCATGAAATGATAAAGCTTCCCATTTCATGATGTGTGAGGTCAATTTTTTGTTATTGGAGTTAAAATTAAAGTAGATATATGACCGAACCTAACCAACCCTACCTAACCTAACCTAATCTATCTTTATAGGTTAGGTTAGGTTAGGTAGCCGAGAAAGTTAGGTTAGGTTAGGTAGGTTAGGTAGACGAAAAACAATTAATTCATGAAAACTTGGCTTATTAGGCAAATCGAGCCTTGCATAGTAGGCAGAGAAGTGCGTTCTGGCTACTAGGTACGACATATATATATATATATATATATATATATATATATATATATATATATATATATATATATATATATATATATATATATATATATATATAATAGGTCGAACTACTGACCCTTTCCAGGATCCTCCCCATAGCAGACATGGGTTACAATATGGCTATAAACATCAAGACATGGGTTACACTAAGACAAGACATTAAGACAGCAGAACAACAATAAGGTGGCCGAGGGTGCAGGAGACAGCGGGGTGAGACGGGCGCAGTGTGTAATGAAAGAGAAGTTCAAGGCAGTATTCCCCTGACGGAGAATACGTCAGCCACATATGACGTGGCCACGACGCCCTCACTAGCGCCTTGTAACTCCACCAGCCACGGCACCAGCCACGGCACCAGCCACGGCACCAGCCACGGCACCAGCCACAGGCGCTAGTCTCCTTAGTGCCGGGACGCCTTAGAGGTGATAATAAGGCTTTTATGAGGCAAGGGCAGCGTTTGATTAGCTAAGAAAGGAATCGTTGTCGTGGGGTTTTTGAAGGGGGTCTATGAGGCTTCATTCGCTTGGTGGCCACCACCGCGGCGCTCCGCCACCGCCCCTCCACACCAAGGGAAATAATATACCTGTAGATACATAGTGTAGATACTGAAGAATCATGAGAGAGTGTGATCAGTGTGTGTGGCTGGTGACAGTGTGGGCCGCGGCTGGGGCCGTGGTGGCGGTGGGGCCGAGGGCGCCGCCTACTGCAGGGGAGACCACTCATGCCCCCCAGGACCCCACCGGCACCAATGTGCAGCTGGAGGTGCCCTACGCCGCGCTCCTGCAGGAGATGCGCACCCTTACCGACCTCATACTAACGAGGCAGATACAAGGCAGGTGGCTAAGGTTTCTCCGTCATATTACGTGGTCATTTTTGTTCTTTGTGAGACGGAAATTTTCTGAACGTTTTCGCTGACTATTAAATTTGCTTGCTAAGTGCCCAATCACTTACGTCATTGGAGAACATGTAATATGAGGACAAGGAGCTGGGATATGAGGACAAGTAGCTGGGATATGAGGACAAGTAGCTGGGATATGAGGACAAGTAGCTGGGATATGAGGACAAGTAGCTGGGATATGAGGACGAGGAGCTGGGATATGAGGACAAGTAGCTGGGACATGAGGACGGGGAGAGGGAGAAGCATGGACCAATATAATATATGGGTGCCAATAACGGTAATGTTTGCCCAGGTGGAGGAGAGGCGGGGCCGCCGTCAGCGCCGCCTGCAGTAGTCCAGGACTGTTCCACGCTACACCAGGCCGGGGTCAAGGTAGGTCTAGCCCACATTTCCCTCTGTAAAACATACAACTATTTTTGTCTAGCCAGAAACGTACGAACCCAAACATCCCACTTAACCTATCGAGGTCGATGCATAGAAAACGTGAATATTATTGTGTTTTCATTTCTATTAACACGTAAAATTCCGCCAAAAAATGTGATGTATTAGTTGAGAGGCCGGCCACTTGCGTTATATTTGAAGTGGCTCTTACTTAACTGGATTCATGAAGTATTTAGGTCTCCAGTTACGAAACCTTTACATCTTGCCTCGATCGTAGCGGCTTATAGTGTGTAATTTACTAACCAGTTTACGAGCTGGGACACAACGAGGTCGTCCTCGAGCCGAGCTCATTACTCATATACACAACCTCATAATGCTTTTAATGTTGACAAACTAACCCGCCATGTTGAGGAAGGATGAAAAGGCTTCGTAGGTGGACACCCAAATGCTGTGTAAACTGTTTAGCAAATACGCAATAGCCGCCATGATCGAAGTAAGAGGTCCAGCGCTCGTAAGTGGACACGTAAGTGGACACTTTTGCCCCTGGTGTCCAGTCTTTGTACTGTGCGGGGGATGAGTGATGTTTGCCCGACACGCTATGCGTACTAAAGGCTTTAGGCATTATATTTACTATCTCTATCTATAAATCCAACATTATGTTTGTAACTCTCCATCTATAAAATGTATACTCTTACCCGAATAAAAATTTGAATTTTGAATTTGACGTGTTGGGTGTATCGGCAGGGTAGCGGGGTGTACAGGGTGTCACCCTTCACCTTCCTGGTGTACTGTAACATGGTCGCCCATGGAGGAGGCTGGACCGTTATACAGCGCAGGTAACATTCTCTAGTTTGTTCATGTTCTCAAGGTCATGTAACCTTCAGTCTTGAATTTGTTTAAAATATTTTATGTATATATTGTTCGGTTTTTTTCGTCAAAGTGTTTGATAAAGAGTACTTTTATAGTAAGAATATTTTGTGTTATTTAAATAAATGTGTAATTTGTGAAAGTAATGCAATTTGCTTTGTATCTCAATCATTTACACCCTTTATCCCCCCCCACACACACATACACACACACCCACAAACACACACACACACACACACACACACACACACACACACATCCCACACACACACACACACACACACACACACACACACACACACACACACACACACACACACACACACACACACACACACACACACACACAACCCCCCCCCACACACACACACACACACACACACCCCCACCCCCACACACCCACACAGGAAGCGTCAAGAGGTCCAGGAAGACTTCGCGCGAGGTTGGGCTGACTACCGGAGCGGGTTCGGGCAGCTGGGAGGAGAGATGTGGCTGGGGCTGGAGGCCCTCCACCAGCTCACCTACAGCGCCTCCTACGAGCTCAGAGTGGACATGCTTGATTACGAATTTGGACCCAAATACGCACTCTACAAGGTCACACACATTCCCTGTCTCGCGTACTCTATCCTACCTTGTGAAACAATAAGGTGTCAGAGTCTTATTCCACAGTACCACTGATATCAGTTCGGTATCATAATACCGAACTGATATCAGTGGTATTATGGAATAAGATCCATAATACCAATACAACAAGAAAACAATGATAGCAATAATAATATGAATCAGAATAAAAATAATGATTGTGTTCGTGTGATGAGATCAGGTACGTTAAGTGTCCAAAGCTGGCACCAGGCCTGGAAGACTGTCTAGAGTGAGTAGGGGTGCTAATACTATCATTTTCCTATTAGTGTGACCAGACCACACACTAGGAGGTGAAGGGACGACGACGTTTCGGTCCGTCCTGGACCATTCTCCAGTCGATTGTGACTTGAAAATGGTTCAGGACGGACCGAAACGTCGTCGTCCCTTCACCTTCTAGTGTGTGGTCTGGTCAAACTACTTCAGCCACGTTATTGTGACTCATCGCCTGCATTCCTATTAGTGAACCAGTTACGATCATTTGTATTTATAATTGAGGTATGTGGCAGGAGGCACCTGTTGACATATATGTTGCATACTGGGATAAACGTGTTCCGTTGCTTTTGTGTGAAATATATTTAGATGTCAATGTTGATGGGTGGTGTATAAGTATTAAAGATACTTCAGGTAGTTTCAGTTGCTTTGCAGGCAATATAAAGATACATAAGAGGGATTGCAGGAGTTCCGTGTAGGTCCAGAGAGCGACGGATACCGGCTCCTGGCGACCAATTATTCTGGCGACGCCGGCGATGCTCTCTCGTTCTTCCACTCTGGTCGTCGCTTCTCCACCTTCGACCGGGACCAGGTAAGTCAGGTTTCCCCAGAGAGTACAAGTGACTCAGCCTCCCCCAGTGGGCCGGCACATTCTGATAGGTCAGGCCCGCACACCCACATAGCCGGCACATCCCGGTTGATCCGGTATCTCTTGGGAGGAACTTGTCAAGTTCCTTCTTGAATGCTTCAGTGTTTGTTCCGGATATATTTCTTATGGTTGATGGTAGAAGGTTGGAGCATGAACCTCTGATGTGCTCTATGAGTGTGCATATGTCAACCCCAACTTTCCATTTTGTTTATTCTGCATTTCCTACCACATCTCTCACTATAGTATGTTGTAGTTCTGCTTGTAGTAGTGCTTGTTAGCCTTTATATTATTGTGCCAGTTATCCATAATTATTAGAATTTTGTAGTGGTGGTTATCCGTCGTAAGTTGAAAAGGGTGGAGAACTAACAAGGTTGTTATGTACCGCAGGATTTGGCCAGAAACAAGAGCTGTGCCCTGGAGAAGGAGGGAGGCTGGTGGTTCCACGCCTGTTATGCCGCCCACCTCAACGGTCGCCACCCCCTCAACCCCTCTAGGTCAGTACACCCACCCGTCATCCCCTCTAGGTCAGTACACCCCACCCGTCATCCACTCTAGGTCAGTACACCCACCCGTCATCCCCTCTAGGTCAGTACACCCACCCGTCATCCATTCTAGGTCAGTACACCCACCCGTCATCCACTCTAGGTCAGTACACCCACCCGTCATCCCCTCTAGGTCAGTACACCCACCCGTCATCCATTCTAGGTCAGTACACCCACCCGTCATCCCCTCTAGGTCAGTACACCCACCCGTCATCCCTTCTAGGTCAGTACACCCACCCGTCATCCCTCTAGGTCAGTACACCCACCCGTCATCCACTCTAGGTCAGTACACCCACCCGTCATCCACTCTAGGTCAGTACACCCACCCGTCATCCATTCTAGGTCAGTACACCCACCCGTCATCCATTCTAGGTCAGTACACCCACCCGTCATCCCCTCTAGGTCAGTACACCCACCCGTCATCCACTCTAGGTCAGTACACCCACCCGTCATCCATTCTAGGTCAGTACACCCACCCGTCATCCACTCTAGGTCAGTACACCCACCCGTCATCCACTCTAGGTCAGTACACCCACCCGTCATCCATTCTAGGTCAGTACACCCACCCGTCATCCATTCTAGGTCAGTACACCCACCCGTCATCCACTCTAGGTCAGTACACCCACCCGTCATCCACTCTAGGTCAGTACACCCACCCGTCATCCACTCTAGGTCAGTACACCCACCCGTCATCCCCTCTAGGTCAGTACACCCACCCGTCAACCCCCTCTAGGTCAGTACACCCCACCCGTCATCCACTCTAGGTCAGTACACCCACCCGTCATCCACTCTAGGTCAGTACACCCCACCCGTCATCCACTCTACGTCAGTACACCCCACCCGTCATCCACTCTAGGTCAGTACACCCACCCGTCATCCACTCTAGGTCAGTACACCCACCCGTCATCCACTCTAGGTCAGTACACCCACCCGTCATCCACTCTAGGTCAGTACACCCACCCGTCATCCACTTTAGGTCAGTACACCCACCCGTCATCCACTCTAGGTCAGTACACCCACCCGTCATCCACTCTAGGTCAGTACACCCCACCCATTACCCCTCCCTTCCTCCCACACACACACACACACACACACACACACACACACACACACACACACACACACACACACACACACACACACACACACACACAGTGCTCATAAGCCCAGTAGTTACATGTCCTTCCCAGTAAAGCTGCGAGAACATTACACTGACCTTGGTGTGTAAGAATTAATTTTCCCCTTGCATGGCGCTCGACACACTCATCAACTTAACCCAACATCAAGACAAATGGCCGCTGATTTCACAACGTGTAAGTCAAATGATATTTAAGCTTACTTTATTTCACAGGAGGAGTAACAGCACCGAGATCCGCTGGTGGTCACACCGAGAGCAGGTCCTTGTACTCACTAGTGTTGAAATGAAAATACGTCGACAGTCGTCGGGTAACCCGCCAGCAAACGAAAGTGTGACTACTGACGACACTCAGCGAACAACACCTCCGTCAAGCACTCCTGACGAGGGCGAGGAGGACAACACTGTAGCAACAAGAGAAGACTACTTCCCGTTATGGCCGGCAGTGGAAGTTATCGGCTTGGACACCGGCAGTGGAGACAACGAGGACACCACCAGGCTCGGGGGACGTGGAGACATCAATCCCTGGGAGGTGGTAGGGAGACCACGGGTCGAGTGATGTCTCTTGTGTTACTAGGCTTGATACATCAAGTTGAGTAATGTGTCTTGTGTTACTAGGCTTGATACATCAAGTTGAGTAATGTGTCTTGTGTTACTAGGCTTGATACGTCAAGTTGAGTAATGTGTCTTGTGTTACTAGGCTTGATACGTCAAGTTGAGTAATGTGTCTTGTGTTACTAGGCTTGATACGTCAAGTTGAGTAATGTGTCTTGTGTTACTAGGCTTGATACATCAAGTTGAGTAATGTGTCTTGTGTTACTAGGCTTGATACATCAAGTTGAGTAATGTGTCTTGTGTTACTAGGCTTGATACATCAAGTTGAGTAATGTGTCTTGTGTTACTAGGCTTGATACATCAAGTTGAGTAATGTGTCTTGTGTTACTAGGCTTGATACATCAGGTTGAGTAATGTGTCTTGTGTTACTAGGCTTGATACATCAAGTTCAGTAATGTGTCTTGTGTTACTAGGCTTGATACATCAATCCTGGGAGGTGTTGGGGAGACTGCAGGTCGAGTGATGTAAATTGTGTTATAAGGCTTTACATTAGCATCTTAAATGAGTAAAACACAAAACTTGACGAAGTAGTAGTTGCTGTAACCAATGTTGCACATCTAGGGAGAAAAGGGATTGAAATATAATATGTTCATAATATATATAACTAAAGAAGGTATCGAGTATTACATAATCGAAATGAACACTGAAGATACCCTTGAAGCATTCCTATATAATAAGTTTTAATAATACATTTTTCGTATCAAAACTGAAAATCAACTTTTCAGTACTTAAATGAACAAATCCACAATGGCCGTACGAGGATTCGAACCTGCGTCCGGGAGCATCCCAGACACTGCCTTAATCGACTGAACTACGACAGGGTAAAATTCCCTTGTGGATTTGTTTATTTGATGCATCACGTTAGTGTGATCTCTGTGTGTGTTTTCAGTACTTGTATAAATACAGTAACTTTCATGGCAAAAACGCTGTGAATCTCACACCTTTAAGAGTAATCACTCCTCGCAGATCACTCGACTAACAAACTACCTTACTCTGCAGCTGGAGATAGTGTCAATGACTGTCACTGTCCTCAAGTCCAGCCAGTAACCTACATCCGGACAAGATCCTGTATCAGTGTCCAGGTCCTCTTGCTATGCAGGAACGGACGAAGACTTAGTCACGTTATCCCAACTGAACTTCTATAATGTTTAGGTATGTGTTGTTTCCTGCTATATTTGAAGGCTTAAAGTGCTAGGATTGCTGGTGTAGCAGCATTAGGCTTCTGATTCGTGTGTTTATCTGAGTGTATTGCTCTGGAATGTATATCAAGCTGTTATTGAAGGGTGGTGCCTTGTTCACTATGTCAGTAGAGAGAGCTCCGTATCTGATTGGGACGCGGGTTCGATCCCATCCCACGGCATCAATATTTCTCGCAGATATAACATGTTCTTGTGACTTCATTGTGCTTAGCTATGTATGTATGTTTTTGAAGATTCATTAAAGGTTAATCTATGTCCGTGCCCGTGTTGCTTGCCTATTGTGTGTAAGACTGAATTTGTTATTCTCTGGTTATCGAAGGATATATAGTATTTTATCTCATACATAGTATTTTAATGTATACATTTTTCCGTCCCTCCTGTTCATTGTTATTAAACAACTTAAGCCTTTGTCCCAATCCCAGTCTAGCGAAGGTCAGACACCTCAGAAGCCTACTGAGCTTCCTAAACCAACACCCTATGTGTCAGGAGTGAGGTGACTTTGTTTCCTCTGTACACAGTATCCAGTGGTACTGTCACAGAACCTTACAATGTGTAGTAGTCATGTGCCGACTATTCTGAGGCGTGAGAACCACACAGACTATTCTGAGTTCTGAGAAACTGCACAAACTGAGTTGTGTGGAACCAGACTATTCTGAATCGTGAAGGACCGTAAAGACTATTATTAGTCATCTGATATTTCTCGTGACATGTGTGGTGTCCTGGCATTTGTAGTGCTTGTGGTGGTATGTATTTGGTAGCCTGACACCTGTAGTGCTTGGGGTGTGTGGGTGGTGTCCCAGCACTTGTAGTGCTTAGAGTGTGTGGGTGGTGTCTTGACACTTGTTGTGGTGTTCTGGCCCTTGTAGTGCTTGTGGTGGTGTGTGTGGGTGGTGTCTTGACACTTGTGGTGGTGTGTGTGGGTGGTGTCTTGGCACTTGTGGTGGTGTGTGTGGGTGGTGTCTTGGCACTTGTGGTGGTGTGTGTGGGTGGTGTCCTCGCATGAACCACCGACCCGAGGAACCGCCGTCGTGTGTGGCTGGCTGCCTGTTCACTAGGCTACAAGGGTCATAATGGAGCAACTTGGGCGGCCAGAGGAAATTTATCCTAGATCGGGAAAGTTTCTCTTTGGGAATTACATTGATTTAGCAATTTCCTGATAATGTTTATTGTCTATTGTGACACATTAGGAAGTAGGCCTACAGTTTTTCATTCATATATACGATTCTGAGCATCAGAAAACTGCTGTTGTCGAATGCTTTTGTGTACGATTTGACTATTCCCCCCTTTCACTATGACGGTTCTTGTTAAGTCAAAATTAGTCATCCCTGACCTTGGTGGGTTCTTTTATCGAGCTGTGACAGTTTCTAGTTGGTTTCGGTAAATCACTGCAGCTGACAGTCATTCCCACTAAGCTTTTGGTGAATTTCAAAAGAATCATTTTGGTGTGTGCAAGGTCCTGCTGTGTTGTGAAGCATGAGCTGGTGGCACTAAGAGCAGGAAGCTCTGTAATGCTTCACGGTCGAGGGTCCTGGCCATTAATGCTCTTATAATACCTAGGAAGAGGAATTGTGTCTGGTGAATATAATTATATTATGGTTTCTTGCTAAACCTTATGAACAAGTATAGCTGATGCATCTGAACACGCATGGTAGTCGATCACTCTGTAAGAGTGAAACTTTTGGATCAGGATTGAAGGCATGGGTGGCAGGGGATTGCTGGCGTGGGTAGGGAGGAAATGGCTTGTTTTTCCTGCGTGTTCTTCCCTACTTCCTCTCATATGGAACAGTTTGTGTGATAGTTACATCATATTATTGTTTATTAAACCCCCTGTAACGATATAAAATTTGCCGAGGGTAATTGATTTGAGATAATTACGAAACCTGACTCATTTAAGTGAAATTTCAACAATTGCGTGAAGCTATATCAGTTAAGTGAAGTTAATTCAATTAAGTGATTCTGATTCAATTAAATAAAGCTGAAGCTAATTCATTTACGCGAAGCTGACTCATTTAAGTTAAGTTGACTAGTGCATGAGCGCACGATATATACTAGTTTGAAGTTAAACTAAATTATATTATCGTGTGGAAATTACTGTACAGTACTTATCCTTGTAATATTGTTTATTATAGTCTAAATTTCAAGGAGATACAACCTAAATTCAATTATATTAATTCAAATAAAATAATTTTTATATTCATACTAAATAAGCAACCCGGCAAAAATAGTACGTAGCATTTTGACGTATAAATCCCCTATGGTCAAAACCTGATGCACTAGATACCATCGCGACTCGCAAAATTGACATGATGCCCCATTTTCTATTCGTGGGTCCTCGGTTAGGTTAGGGTCAGGCAATTTAGTACACCCTTTTAGTGACGCTGTGAACACTGGAGAGGACGGATTGAAATAAGAGCCTAGTCGGGGGCGTCTTAAGACATGTGTGTTAGCTTAATCGGTAGTCATAAGGAAAATCCAGTAGTAAAAGATTACAATATTTAGCATATGTTATTAGGTAGCCAAATCTTAAAATACAATACTGCAGCATATGAAGTAGGAACCAAGAAGCCTCTTCTAGTGTGTCTACCAAGGAAGATTTTAATGTATGACAAATATATATACATAATCTGATTCAATAATACTTCGCTGGGTGGGCCAATTGCTGCAACATTCGTGCCTGAAATTCATCGGCTAATAATTAAGTCAGCTACAGCAGTCAAACTGAAGTTATAATGTAATACACACAGGCAGAACAGCCTCGTCCGCGGTTTTCACCACACAGCATGACCAAGGACGCCTCGCCTCAATTACTCATCACCGCGTTTATCAAACATCACAAAAGTCGAACAAAACACCAAGAAGATATTTGGGAAATTTCTCAAATTAACACAAAAAAATGCGATCTCAAAATTAGAAAGCGTTTAACTTTAGTGGGTTTTTTTCTTCACGGTTTGGGGCGGCTGCAGTGCTCAATGTCTACACAGTGGAACATGGCGCTGACCTTCACAACTGTTCTTCTCTACAGTGGAACATGGCGCCAACCTCCACCACTGTTCTCCAAAGTGGAACATGGCGCTAATCTTCACCACTGTTCTCCACCGTACTTAATAGTCTAGCCCTAGACAGCACTGAGTACCAACACAGAAATGTTCGTATATATAATATATATATATATATATATATATATATATATATATATATATATATATATATATATATATATATATATATATATATTTCATATATATTTTATATATATATATATATATTGGTGTATACTGGCAGCAGGTTTTCTTTCAAACATGTTTCATTGAATATGACCGCATATTCTGTATTTATTATTTTCTGGTTTAGGGCTTCTATCCATCTAACTATTTTCTTAGCATCAGGGCTTAATTGAAATAGGAGTTCTCCAAAACTCATTTTCGTACTTTTAAGGTGAAGAAAAGAAGTGATTTACTATAGAGTGTATTACACTTATTTGTATAATTTGCACGACGTTTCGAACCTCCATGGTTCATTCTCAAGTGAACAGATCTTACAATACTAGTTGATTTTATACCCGCATTAGGTCAGGTGATAATACAATGAAGGTGAAAACATGGGGGGATACATAAGGGATAAACATAGGGGCTGCAGAAGGCTTATTGGCCCATACGAGGCATCTCCTATCTAAACACAAAGATTAATCCAGTGTAATTGGCCTGTTATGTTGGACATTGTCTTCTGTGTTGGCATCGATATGTTCTTGTCAGGACAAGACAAGAACATATCGATGCCAACACAGAAGACAATGTCCAACATAACAGGCTAATTACACTGGATTAATCTTTGTGTTTAGATAGGAGATGCCTCGTATGGGCCAATAAGCCTTCTGCAGCCCCTATGTTTATCCCTTATGTATCCCCCCATGTTTTCACCTTCATTGTATTATCACCTGACCTAATGCGGGTATAAAATCAACTAGTATTGTAAGATCTGTTCACTTGAGAATGAACCATGGAGGTTCGAAACGTCGTGCAAATTATACAAATAAGTGTAATACACTCTATAGTAAATCACTTCTTTTCTTCACCTTAAAAGTACGAAAATGAGTTTTGGAGAACTCCTATTTCAATTAAGCCCTGATGCTAAGAAAATAGTTAGAGGGATAGAAGCCCTAAACCAGAAAATAATAAATACCGAATATGCGGTCATATTCAATGAAACATATATATATATATATATATATATATATATATATATATATATATATATATATATATATATATATATATATATATATATATATATATATATATATATATATATATATATATATATATATATTTATTTCTGTGTTGGTAGTCAGTGCTGTCTAGGGCTAGACTATTAAGTATATCAACACTATACAGAACAAAAAACAATGGCTACAAATTGGATGAATTGTGATTCAGAAAAAGACTTGAGTAAATACTGGGTTGGAAATTAGGTTGCTGTTTTATGGAACAAATTACCGGGTACAATAATGGACGTGGGTCACTGGATTACTTCAAGAGTAGGTTAGACATATGTGATTTGGTCAGGTATAAATATGAGCTGCGTGAGGATGGAGCTAGAGACCCATCCGGCCAAAATTTCTTGCTACTAAAGGTCACAATAACCTGGCATGTGGTGAGAAGAACCTGCCCAGGTCACAGAAAGCAAAGGCAGCTTCTTATTGCTGTGTGGAATGTGAGAGGAAATATCAGGAATGGAAGTTGGAAGAGATAAATGTATTTAAGTTCGATGAGCTGGGTAATCCTAGGCAAACATAAAAGGAAATAATGAAATGAAGAATAAAGCGAATATTGTAAGAACAGGACCGAAAGAAAATAATAGAAATATGGAGAATAAACAGTAATGTGGGGCAATAAATAAATAAAAGACCCAGAAATCATGTTCACTTAGCAGTAATTAGGTACATGGAATTAGACAAGGTGTGGGTTGCATGGTGAGGTAGGTCAACAGTTGGCCAAGGCTTCAGGGCAACCTCGAGCAGGCTATAAGGCTTCCTGTCTCCGACCATGGTTGATTGATTGATTGATTTATTATGCACCCCATACCCATCCCCTGGGCGGTGGTGAAAAGGGTTATAGAGGCACATAATGGGTTCAGGAATTGGGCCCGACCATGTCAAAAAATATTTAGGTTAGGTTAGGTTGGTAAGCAAATTTTACTTCAAATTAAACTAAATATTTCATCTGGGTCATTAAACTAAATATATTTATATATCCAAAGGATTTTTTGCGAAGTCCGGCTTATTAGGCAACTATGGCTATTAGGTACTATATACAGTATTTCGCCAATTTGGTCTGGTGTTGGGCTTCAGACCCGTCAACCTCAGAGGGGCTATTAAGGCCACAAAAGTGCTGAATCATATCAATACTAATATACCAGCACGTATAGTACTGTAGTTCTGGTTACACCTCTAACCAGATAATTGATGCAGTGAAAGATATATACTGTATTCATTGAGAGATGTACCTTGCTTCTCGATGTATATACACCGAGTGCTGACTTGAGTCCTGAACTGTGTATGCTTGCTGGTTAGTCACACGTTTGGTGGCCTTAATAACCCTCCAGAGTTTGATAGGCCTTAACAACCTTACAGAGGTTGATAGGCCTTAATAACCTTGCAGAGGTTGATAGGCCTTAATAACCTTGCAGAGGTTGATAGGCCTTATAATCCTCAAAATGTTGATAAGCCTTATTTATCCTTCAGAGGTTGATATACCTTATTTACCCTACATAGGTTAATAGGTATGAATAACCCTCCAGATGTTGATAGGCTTGAATACCAATCCAGTGGTTGATAGGCCTGAACAAGCCCCCAGCTTTCTGTCCTTGTCGAGGCCACTAGATAAAGATAGTGACCGTCAGGTAAATTCCAGCTCATCCTCCTGTTTTGGCAGTACTTATAGTAACGATGAGGACCATAGTATATATACCGACGTACAGTACAACAAAATTAGAAAGTTCAAATCGCCACTATTGAGTTGGACAAACCGTAAAATTATTTTCTATGTTGCAAAGACAAATTAAACTAACCTAGCCTAACCTTCCTAGGCCTAATACACGGTATCTGAGGCCTAATATAGTACATATGTGTACTATTCTAGGCCTAAGAATATTTAAATATTTTTGGGTTTCATTTTTTCCCGACTACAAAGTGAATAGTACAAAGTTCTAGTATGTAATTGCTTAGAACGGCAATCTTTGTACTATGGCGCACATAGTTACAAAAACTACTATCTAAACAGGAGAAAGGTTGGTAAATTCAGGTAAATAACCCCTCCAAATGTTGATAGGCATGAATAACCCTCTCTATAGAGGTTGATTGTTCTTAATAATGCTCTAAAGACTGATAGACCATAAAACCTTCCAGAGATTGATAGGCTTTATTAACCCTGCAGAGGCTGATAAGCCTTAAGCCCAACACCAAAACAATTACAGTACAGCAAAGGCATTCCACTTCCGTCTCAATATGTTGGGAAAGTGTTGACGTTTATAGAAAACAAATTGCTAGTTATATTAACAACTGGAATCCAGTTATTCCTTTTGTTTGGCTAAAAACTTAGTTCATTCAACTATCTTTACGATGTAAATATTAACAGTGCATGCATAAATAATATATCTAACTGAACTATTATTGTTTCAATTTGAATTTTGTATATTGTGAACCACCCACAGTACGACATTTTTCCAGCGTGTTGCCCCCCTAAGCTAAATATTTCATGGAAAGTCCAATTCTCTCCCTTAATGCTTCTAAATAAGTTTCACCCATTTAGTAAATATTAATCGATTGTAGAAAATATGATTTAAACAGTTTAGAAATGGGTAAAGTCTTCGGAATGGTCAAAATAATGGGGGTGGAAAATGGACTAGTCGGTGTCGCGCGGAGAAGGACCGGACTGACGGGCGGATTTGCGCGGTAACTTCAGTTGAGGCACAGTTGAGGGACTAAGCTGTGCCCCGCTTCTCTGCACCTGTAGATTAGAAGTGTGAAACGACCTCCATTTCACTGGATTAACCTACTCGAGGGTGAAGTGTATCCGAGTCGATGAGCGGAGTGCCATATTGGGCGTGAATACCGGTGTGTTATAGTGTGAGAAAGCCTGGGAATACTGAGCCTTGGGGAAGGAGAAGGAGGTGGTCGTCTCAACCTACTTGACGAGGGCCCATGCGGGTCACCCCACGTCTCTCAGAGTTAGAAAGGTGAGTCACAAGGAGCACTTGGTGGCTCCTGTAGCTTGTGACACGGAGCCTTGGTACCTGTGTGGGAGGGAGGGAGGTGTGTATGTGTGGGGAAGAGGAAGGCTGGTGTGTGTGTGTGTCGGCATTCATGTCGCCGCAATCGATCAAGGTCTGTGGCATGAATTCCAGGCTGGTTACGGAGGCAGGGAGAGGGGGGATGGGTATGTGGGGAGGGGGACTGGGTATGTGGCGTGAGGGAGAGGGGGGATGGGTATGTGGCGAGAGGGAGGGGGACTGGGTATGTGGCGAGACTGGGTATGTGGCGAGAGAGACTGGGTATGTGGCGAGAGACTGGGTATGTGGCGAGAGAGACTGGGTATGTGGCGAGAGAGACTGGGTATGTGGCGAGAGACTGGGTATGTGGCGAGAGAGACTGGGTATGTGGCGAGAGAGACTGGGTATGTGGCGAGAGAGGGAAAGAGGACTGGGTATGTGGCGAGAGAGGGAAGAGGACTGGGTATGTGGCGAGAGGGGGAAGAGGACTGGGTATGTGGCGAGAGGGGGAGAGAGATTGGGTATGTGGCGAGAGAGGGAAGGGGATGGGTATGTGGCGAGAGAGGGAAAGGGGATGGGTATGTGGCGAGAGGGGAAGAGGGATGGGTATGTGGCGAGAGGGGGAGAGAGATTGGGTATGTGGCGAAAGGGGGAGGGGGACTGGGTATGTGGCGAGAGGGAGAGACTAGGTATGTGGCGAGAGGGGAAGGGGACTGGGTATGTGGCGAGAAGAGAGAGACTGGGTATGTGGCGAGAGGGGGAGAGAGACTGGGTATGTGGCGAGGGGGAGGGGCAAGGATATGTGGCGAGGGGGAGGGGCAAGGGTATGTGGCGTGAGAGGAGGGGGAGGGGCAAGGGTATGTGGCGTGAGAGTGGAGGGGGGAGAGACAAGGGGTATGTGGTGAGAGTGGAAGGGAGTGGGATGAATATGTGGCTGGTGATGGCATGTTGTGGGAGAGAATTTGACAAGGTAAGTTTATTTTTATATCGCTCAACAGAATAGGTTACCAAACCCCAGAATCCGTTTAATTCGGAATTACAATTGATAAACCTTTTGATTGGACAAGTGTGCATTCCTCAAAAGATGGTGCTGGAAGTATGTGTATAGGCCTAGTCTGGGAAGAGACAAGTAGTGGATCTGATGTGATCGGTACAGGCCTTAATTGTGGAGGACACTGATTAATTATAGTAAAATTGGGAAATTTTTGTAACCGAAAATTGGGTCTGTAGATGGATTTCATGTCCTCTAAAGGCCTCTATTTCCATAAGTGATTATTTCTCTGGCATTTAATACATTATTTATTAAATTATCTGCACTGCGATATCTCCAAACATGAAATTATGGATTATAAGGTAATGTGTAATCCATAATTTGGATTACATTATAAATTATTCTTATCTGCACTGCGATATCTCCAAATATGAAATTATGGATTACAAAGTGATGTAATAGGCTAATTATCATGTAAATACATAAATGACTTGCATTCTACGCATGTACTTCATGTATTGATTATTCCTTGATTTCTCTTGGATAAGAGAACTCGGGAATTATTCACAAGTTGGACAAGCCTATTGGGGAAGGGCAAAGTTACATCCCGTTAGTGTACGAAACTCTTAGCTTATGTATGTATACATTAAACCTAATGGCCGAAATTTGATGACGGTTAATAGTGTGTACAAGTTCATTCAATAAAGTTGGAAGGAAAATTTGAAAGTCCATATCAATTAAATTGAAATATACATTGTCATTGAACATAATATAAATCCATTAAGATATTTTGAACCTGACTGAACGACTAGAGTGAGCGTAACCAACAGTGTTTGATTAAAAAGAACTTTAGACGGAGAGAAGAGAGGCTGCTGGTCTGACATTTACTGTGTAGCCTTGAGGAAGGGGGCGTGCCGCAGTGCCCGCCACAGACAGTGTTACCCGTTCTCTGCTCTCGTTAAAGTTCATGACAAAGGGTACATATTTGCCGACTGTTGTCAGTTCCACAGTTATAGCTCATGACAAAAGGTGCCTATATTCTTTATCAGTTTTCCCGTTAAATTGAAGTTTCATAAAGGGTGAATTTATTCACTTACCCGGTAATTCATTAAACGGTTAAACGTCACCATCCAGCCCCTACGACAGACTGGAAATCACCACCAACAGTCGGTACCAGTAGGGCTTCAAAAGATGTAAATAGGTTGGCCTTATATTGCATATGGATAACTAGTAACAGAACAGTCGAAGGAAAATAAATCTGCATTCATAAAAGATAGTTATAGTGTAACAACTTTTAAACAATCTGAGAGTGCTATTCCGTAAAGGGAAACGAATATCCTGGTTTAAGAACCCCTACTAGCTGATGGTTGAATATAGCAAGTCGAGAACTGTGAACCCCAACGATGCAATATCGGGGGTCTGTTCTGTTGATCCTCACTTGGACTTGGCCTAAGCCATAAGTTACAAGCTGCAGTTAATGTGTAACAATTTAAACACAGTGCATGAATAATAAACTGTATTAATAAACTTTTAATGTACTGTATATATTTTGACTACGCATCATTTTTCTCTGGGGGTGATGTTTCACACCCCAATGAAAGTAACTGGGTAATGATTGTGGATCCTCAGATCCTCCACACCACTGTGTCGTATGCGTTCGTGCCATTCGTCCGTCTCCAGATTTGTTTCATTTCGCTCATTGTTCTGAGATTTGTGCATCCACTCGACTTTCTCTTTCAAATACTGTAGGATCACGTCCGGTATTCCTCTCATTCATGTCTAGTCGCATTCTCTACTTCCTCTTGCTCATTTTACCGCGTTCTTCCCCCTCCCCCTTATTATTGCCGTGTTTTCTGATTTCCCCTTATTATTTCCGCCTATTTACAATTAGTGTTCTCTACTTTGTCTCCGTACTGTTGTGTGTTAAGCTTTTCCTCATTACTATTGCTCTGTTCTCCGATCCCCCCCCCCTATTATTGCCGTTTACTTCCACCTTACTATTGTTTTTTTCCCCCCTTACTGTTGCCGTGTTCTCTACTTCCCCCCTTTACTGTTGCCGTGTTCTCTACTTTCGTCCTCACTGTGGTCGTATTAAATACTTGTATATCTAGTTCGCTGTCTTGATAACCGTTGCATCGATAAAGTGTTGATTAGAATGGTGCATCATCTGATGATAATCATCTGATCATCTGATCAAAATGATGCAATAATACTTTAGGTTATGAAGATTGCGCGTTTCTTCTTTTCTATATGTTGAACACTGTCTTAATTACCATAATACGAGAAAGCACAACTGATGGCAGCTTATCTATATGTTAACTAGTTTGTACTTTCTATATTCTTTTATTATAAATATATAATTTGTGTATTGAGAATGAGTGGGATTCCTCGGCAGTTTATTCCTACTTAAATTCATTAGATGTTTACATATATTTACTGCTGGCCAAAGGCCTCTTTCGTATATTTATAAGTGTGGTACCTTTTATCAATGTTGGTCATGAAGCAGCTTGGTCAAACCCTGGCATTTTTTCTCATAAGAACAAAGGTAACTGCAGAAGACCCATTGGCCCATACAAGGCAGGCAATCTACTCTTCTTTATATTCATATGTACTCGTACCTACTTTCCCGTTCGTTCACTGGGTGCTCTTAGTTTTATATATTTTCATTCGTGTTAGCAAGAAGTCCTGTTATGAGGTCCAGCTAGACGGATCCATGTACGTTGTCACCTATCCCATAATGACTACCCTGACTGGCCCATCACATCGTGTGCGCATCACCCACTGTCATTAGCCTTCACTCCAGCTTTCACACAAACGTAATAAGCGTTTGGAGTCTTGTCGAAGATTTTGTTATTCTTAGTAATAACACCTGAAAACTTGTGCTCTCGGTACACAGGTATGCACCTCCCCAGCAGGTGGTTGAACTTAAGGTCTGTGATAGGCTATCTTCGTATCAGGAAGTTATCTTGAGGTGATTTCGGGGCTTAGCGTCCACGCAGCCTGGTCCTCGGCCAGGCCTCCTTTTTGTTACATATCCTCAGGAAGCAGCCCGTAGCAGCTGTCTAACTCCCAGGCACCTATTTACTGGTAGGTGAACAGGTGCATCAGGATGAAAGAAACTGCCCATTTGTTTCCGCCTCCGCCGGAGATGGAACCCCGGAACTTTAGGACTCCGAATCCAGATCGCTTTCCACTCAGCCGTCAGGCCTCTGGGATTCCTATCCCAGGCTAGGAATAAGTTTGTGATGACCAGCAGCTTGAACGACTCCAATATTTTCTTGCCTCAGCACATCCAACTGATTGTTCAGTACTGTTAGCAACGGCTGGCTTTACCATTGTTCAGTACTGTTAGCAACGGCTGGCTTTACAATGATAGTCTAGTCATTTTATTAAAAGTTGAAACTTCATTAGAAAGAAGTATTCCAAAGAGCAAAATGGTGTCAGTAACGAATTAATTTTGAGTTAATTGGCGGAGTGCACTTATAAAGTAGCAGATCATTCTAGATTTGGGTAGAGACATTAAGAAAGTGGGATATTTTGAGCCATTATGGGGGTAGAAGTAGCCTAAGCTACTACTCTATCCCTTTGAGATGTATTTTTTTTCTTGTCTCAATAAACTTACTTGAACTTGAGCCATTTTTTCAGGTATGTTGTTGTTAAAGATTTGCTACCTGGAACAAAGTTCCAAGTAGCACGGGCTATGGTGAGCCCGTCTCTGGTAAGATTTGTGGTGCAAATCAGGGTAAACTTACGTCACCAGGATAAGCGGAACTGTTCTGTGGTGAGAAGTATAGTAGTATAGTGAATAATACACATATTGGAATAGAATTCCATGTACATAAAAATGTGTACAAATAATTGCATGCATTTTTTAAAAATATTTGCATATGTAAGCTTGCATAGGCTATGTTGACCTACAGCCTGTGCATAAATGTATTGTGATGGGTTGTGGTATCGCACCTATACTGAACCAAGA